AAAGCTAACAAGGGTAACTGCTACTGTTATCAACAACCAGCTTGTTTTCATACTCTCGGACCCACGCAGATGAATGAAGACCGTGTCGCCATGTTGACCACATTTCGCTTCTCCGCACAGAGTTTCGGTCATTCGAAATACATATATTTTTTTTTAAATCAGCTTTTGCAAGCATAATTTTGTTCATGACTTCTTGTCATAATTTTTTTTTTAATTATAGACACATTTTAAATAGCAGTAATTACACTCTGAAGCTGTGCCTGTCAACGTTGACACAACTCTATTATTAAAACCTCTTTAGTCACCAAGAGGAACATGACTCTAATAATTACACCATCAAGCTATTTTTTCAGAACATCTCAACACATCTTTCCCAAGCTCAGAAGGAGAATCAAATCCTTCTGAGCTTGAGAAAGAGGCACAAAAAAAAAATGGAGCCAGGGTAGGGTGCGTATTGCTCCAGCAAAGCAATCTTCTTCTCAGCCAGGAACTGTCAGATGCTCAGGGCATTGTGAGCAGCCCTGCTGTGACTAAACCTAAAATGTAAAATCGGACTCATATACACATGCAAAATGCAACCAATGTCCTCAGGTGAACTGTGCGTTCGATAATCAAATCGTCCTGCCAGGAAGATGTACATATGCTAAGCCAAATATGCACACAAATAACATACTGGTGTTCGACTAGCAGTGCCATCGTCGCTGTGGAAACCATTCAGACCAGTGTGAATGCACTCCAAACGATTTGAAGGGTTTGTATCTTTGTGCGAGTCCGGCGCAGAAAGAGGAAGGCGGCAGGCTTCGTGCACTTTGTATTGTGGCTCACTGTGGGGGTGTGATACACTGCAGGTTACCTCACTGCTTCACTTTTATGCACAAAAAAATAAAAATAAAATCAGCCCGTACAGATACTGCACATGGAGCACATCTTTTAAAGTTGACTATCGCCAATAGCTGAACAAAAAAACATTACAGTAATGAGTTGGTTTATCGCTCCTGAGTGCATGACTATGCACGTGTAATGTGTGGCAGAACACAGGCTTGCAGCTTAGGGCAGATTGAAAATAACCCTAATTAAGCGTCACAGCTGTAGTGCGAGAGTGAGACAGGCCAGAGGGAGAAAGAGAAGCGAGAGACACCAGAAACACAAAACACGGTGCAACATACAAAAATCGTCAGAGTCACGGCAGATCTATCTGAACAAGTTTAATGGAATTGCCCTTGAGATGGTAAAAAGCGAGTTGGCGAATGACTTTTCATTATATATATTTTTTAATGTAATCGACAACATTGTGTACACGTCCACAATCGAATACAAGAATTGTATCAGAAACACCAACACAATGACAAGCTCCCTATTCAACAGGACTAACATCAGGCTACATGAACGTAGCCCGATTTTGAGCCGACAGACGACACGTGTCGCAGACAAGTTTCGTAGCCGATTTTTGAGTTGCCTTGACGCGTGGCAGCGTTTTGTGACAGCATAGCGTGACCTGTCCTACGTCATCTTTCGATCGGTTCTTCGGCAACAACCAAAAGGGAGACAGTGCCCTCCTACTTATGACGAGGGGACCGGACATGGGGCATGCCATCACAGTGTGGTGTATAGTGAAAAATGACTTGAACAAAATGGGAATTACTTTTGCCCGTTCTGAACATCGAAACAAATTACATGCACAGAATGCCTTCATCGACATCATTTCGACAGCCACTCGTCCTGCTTCCCCACTCCAACCAGCAGCAATGGACTGAATCATCTACGGAAGGACGCAACGGCCGACAGGGTCCGGTCGTGCAACATTTCACTCAGCCCTCCGTCACAACTTTTTTTTTTCCATCATCACAGTAAAAATCTGAAACACTTCAAGTATAACAGGCTACTCCTGCCATTTGCACAACGGCCTACATATTTTTTTTCCAGTTGAGGATTTGATGAGTGGAATAGGTTCTACATGGAAACAGTCACTCGAGTGTCTTCGGCAATGCGAATAAAAACGGACGGCGGGTACGCTGGACACAACAACGCAGAGGCAGCATCCTACGGTGCACTTTAATAATATAAAGTAATCGCCTATGAGCAATTTCCTCATTTGCACAACCAAGAAATCTTTCCACAAAGTATTCTGCAACTCCAAGTTAATTAACCACAGAGGCCACATATAAGAAAGGGTTGCTGTAACATAGCAGCACACTTGGGTTGAAAGTTATTGTTATTGTTGTTGTTCGAGGATGAAACAAACAACGAACCCCTGTTCATCGCGGGGGTACATTCGAGACCAGGTAAGAAAAGGTTTTCAATCTTTAAATACATTGCAAACATTTGAACACACACCAAAATGATTCACGGTGTGGCATTATTTCCACGACAGGTACACAGGCTCCCTCTAGTGGTTCAGAAAAGAGTAATTGACTAAGTGAAATTCATTTGTCCATAACTTTTAAGTAAAGTCCATTTGCCTTGAAACATTTAGGCGCTTGTTTTTCAATAAAATATTCAGGTTTGAACTCACCATTTCAAAAGGTTGTCGCGTGAAAATAGAGATGAAGGCATAATGTAAATAGTGCTTGGTGCAATTTTGCTACTTTGGCACTTCAGCCTGTGAGTATTGGTTGTATTATCTGTCTACATGTGTTGCTCCACCATTCCTGGTCTAAAGGTTTTGGCGAGAAAGATGGGATTTCACTTTGCGCCTTGCTCTTGGTCACTGGTATGAATCGTTTTTGACTAGCGACAATCAGAATAGCCAAAGCTAACAAGGGTAACTGCTACTGTTATCAACAACCAGCTTGTTTTCATACTCTCGGACCCACGCAGATGAATGAAGACCGTGTCGCCATGTTGACCACATTTCGCTTCTCCGCACAGAGTTTCGGTCATTCGAAATACATATATTTTTTTTTAAATCAGCTTTTGCAAGCATAATTTTGTTCATGACTTCTTGTCATAATTTTTTTTTTAATTATAGACACATTTTAAATAGCAGTAATTACACTCTGAAGCTGTGCCTGTCAACGTTGACACAACTCTATTATTAAAACCTCTTTAGTCACCAAGAGGAACATGACTCTAATAATTACACCATCAAGCTATTTTTTCAGAACATCTCAACACATCTTTCCCAAGCTCAGAAGGAGAATCAAATCCTTCTGAGCTTGAGAAAGAGGCACAAAAAAAAAAGATTCAATTGGATACAACTTTATTGTCAAATGTGCTGTATGTGTAACATACAGCACAGATGAAATGTTTTCCCTCTCAACACACACATACATATATACATAAATATTTATTTTTTTTTTTTTGGGGGGGGGGGACACATTTTCGCAATAGCCAAGTAGGAATGTTTCTCAAACGGTTCTTGTGATACAGCAGGGGAACACAGCCAAACCTTTTGGAATAAAAGCAGCGCGCATTGTAATAAGGCTGTCACCATTTCATATTTTTAGAATTGATTATTCTATCAATTCCTCCATCCATTAATTTTAGTTTACATTAACGTGTATTACAAAACCGTTTTCCCCAATTACTCTTTCTTTACCATTAACTGTTGTATATTTGACAGGAGTTTAAAAAAAACAAAAACAAAATCACGTGAGAGGGACTGTTGTACTCACCAACCCTTTTTGAAATTGATTCATTTGATTATTGAGAGCTGTTGATTGAATTGATCATCAATTCGTGGTTAATGAAACCCAACACTTCAACAGTTTAAGTTTCATTTTGACTTTGCGAGAGATGTTGACAGTCTGGATGCATCCCAACAGCCTTACTTTAAACCGGGTCCACTTTGGACGTTGGAGAACAACCTGTTGCTGCATTGGTCTCCCACTGTGTGCTTTGAGGAAACAAGTGGTGACAATGAGGCACACTTTTCACCTTCAGCAGTACAATAATTAGCACATTCAAAGTCCACATCATAGAGCCTCACTTGTATCTCTCTACTGCAGCACATGGAGAGGAAAGTCAATGCATTGCGCAACAAATTCATTCTTTGGAGGAGGATCACCTGCAGGGAGGAGGCAGTGACACTGCAGAGAAGTTCCAACTGCGCTGTTGCTAAAGCTGCTGCAAGCAGCCTTTTTTAACGCAACTCTAAACTGGCATAATGACGCGGAGCTTTTTTACGACCGGCCACAGCATTAATACAATTGATAATGGTACCAAATGACGTTGTGCAACATACTGAGTGCTCTTTCTAATATTTTAACTTGGACAAGGTTTAAAAAAAAAAATAATAATACATACATACATATATATATATATATATATATATATATATGTATTATTTTTTTTTGTTTTGTTTTGTTTGTTTTGTTTTTTGGGGAAGGTTTTGACTTCTATAAGGCAAACAAAATGTCACACAGCTTTCTTATGTCACTGGTGAAACCACACTACTCGCAAAGGGAGCTTTTGCCACTATTTTGTCAATAAGTCTCAGTATTAGAAAATACCTTGGGAGCAACACTCCGTTTACCATATTTTGCTTATATGCAAGTCAAACTATAAGAAACAGCTCCCAGCACAACACACATCCACAGCCACATTACTGATACTGAGAATTATACCAAAAAAAAAAAAAACAAAGCACCAGGAAACGGCTAATATTTTATATTTTGGCTACCTTTCATTAGTCTAAATATTAGGAAAAAAAGCTTTCATGAAGACGCAGCAGTGCGGTTCTACCACTATTGTAAATTTAAAATAAAATAAAATTTGCTAATATTGTGGCCATATACAATTATTCTGCATTTAACGATTACTGTACTTCAGTTGTTTTGGATGGCATTTTTAAGTACTATAAAGTGTGGTGGAGTTGTTAGTAAGAATTCCATTCTATTTTGTTTGTTGACACATGTTGTGATGACTGAAAAATGTCATATACCATGACGAGGAAATCCACACAATACACATTTTGACAGCATTGGACTTGAGCATAACAGTTTGCTGAAGTTGCATTAAAAATTGTGCTTTTGGGTGGCGTCGTGATAGCATCTCCTTACCTGTTTCTCAAGGGCTTCCTTCCCCGTGGTGGACATTTTGGGTGCGGGTGCGCGCTCGCAGGTGCAGCCTTCCAACAGGTAAATCCCGGCGGGGCGTGCGCTCTGTTCATTGTCGAAGTAGAAGAGGACATTCTGGTAAAGAGCGAAGAACTTGTCATGCCAGCGGCTGTTCTCAGCGGTCTTCTTGCTTAGGAAGCCGCGTTTGGTGCCCTCTTTACGCGCTACGGCCGACAAGAAGAGCGCGTGGCCCTCGTTGTAACGCACGCTCTTCTGCATCGTAAGAGCGGCTCGGTTGCTCTTTTTCAACTTCTTTTTCTTCGATTCAACGCGTGGCCATCTCCGTGGGAAAAGTTTCCTTGCAGGGGAAGGGAGGTGAGGGGGGGGCTCAAGGGCGCCGAGCCGTGCGTAAAAGTTACCCCGCTGGCGCAAGCACAGCGTCCGCGGAGCTCCTCACGCCCGGAGACGCCGAAGGGGAATCCATGGCGCTCGCTCACAACTTGGGCGATGACATGGAGAAGCCTCAAGTTAGACGAGGGCGGAATGGCACAGAAGAGATAAGCTGTAATCGGCTTTTGACTACGGTCAACTGTCGGCACACACGTAACTACGAGCCCCAGCCCCTCCCTCCGTCCGTCCCTGCGTGGCCGACTCTCTCACCGGGGGGAGTTAAAGGCGGAGCGTTAATTTCTACGCTGTGCTAATGGCACCGCAGAAACCAAACAGATTTTCTTCCATCTGCACATGTACCCGTAGTGGCAATGTTATTCGCACTACATACATATATTTGGTTAAAAAAATAAACTCCTTGACTTGACTCAGTGGTATGTGGGCTCTCTCTAGTGGTATGCAAAAGATTCACGGCCAAAGTACAGTTCAGTTGTATTTAACTTTTTAGCACTATATACCCATTGGTATGACGTTTTTAACAAGTTTGTTTTTAAATGTTTATATCTGAATATTTTTATTAAACATGTAAATTAATCTTTATTAAAGGTGTTTTTTTTTCCCCACCTGTATTTAAATGGGGCGGCAGGTGATCGACTGGTTTGCACGTCCGCCTCACAGTGCAGAGGTGCAGCGTTCGATTCCAGCTCCGGCCTTCCTGTGTGGATTGTTGTTTGTCTATGTGTGCCCTGCAATTGACCGGCCACCAGTTGCCCGAAGACAGCTGGGATAGCCTTCAGCACAGCCGCGACCCTCATGAGGAGAAGCAGATTACAAAATGGATGCATGGATGGATGGATTAGAGCACAGTGTTAATGTTCAAACTGTGCCTGTCACAATGGCTCAGAAAAATGGGAAAAAAATATTTTCTAGGAATAAACCATTGCCTCATATTGAATGAACTCAGGCTATGCTGCAGTGTACCATCTGTATTCGTCGGGTTAGTGAAGTATAATCAATCATTAAAAAAAAAAAAATTACTAGTGACATTCTGAATGTAGAAACTATGTTGTCTGTGCGCACGGTTATACTGTATTGTCTTTCTCCTGTCCATGTGATGTACACTTGTTGTGTTCAAATATATATTGCTCAAAGTGTTACAACACACTGACTCTCAATACTATTTCTTAGCAGTCTGTGGTGTTTTTCGTGTTTGCGTTAAGCTGTACACACACAATATGGATTTCTCTCTGTTTTGTTTAGTTTCCGGAAGTGGCAATAAACAGCTTAAAACCTTTTTAAAGACTTGTTCAGTCTATGCCTCCCTGCTGCTTATTGCCAAGTGAGCCGAGTCGAGTTCACTGCCAATACAAGTGTCAACCGGTGGTGTCCGACTGCGTTGTGTTTAAGAATAGTGATGACGCACAGCAGGATTTCTTGTGTTGGTTGTCGTTTAATCGTGTCAATCACAAAACCTCATGCTAAAAGCAAAAACAATGTCCTCCCGTCAATTATGGCGATACAGCGTGCCCCTACGCAAATTATATGGCATAGCAATGCATTCAAATACTTAAATTTGTTTCCTCAGCTCTAAAGATGCTTACCTCCCCATGGACATTAAAAAAAAAAGGGGGGGGAGGGTCAAAGGTGTGAACACAATTTAAGAGAGGCAGTGCCATATTAATTATTGAAGTACGGGAACGGATAAAAAATTTTATTCCACTTGTATTTTGGAAAACCATGCAAGTCAGGTCACTCGTATCTCTTGCTTATGTTCTGTCCATGATCCCAGAAAAAAAAGTAATATTTCAGAAACAATGTTGTTTGGGTGATCAAAAAGTTAATAACCTTTCCTGAACAAGCCGCACATTTTGTTCTTTCAGTTACAATTTGTCGAGAGACGCCGCCACAACTGTGAAAACAAAATAACCAAAATAAAACCAGCAATTCTCAGGCATCCCGGAAGGGCCAAAGACTCTTGTTTCTCATATTACATCCAATCTGTTGAGCAATAATGAAAAGAGCAAAGGAAGGAATAATAACAACTGGAAATTGCAATGCCCTCCGATATTACATGTGAATGCTGAGAGCTGCGGAAAAAGTTCAATACGTTTTTTTTTTTTTGTCAAAAAAAATGAAAGCGCAACTATTGTCCCGTTGTACTTTCATTGTCTTGAATCTGTTGCACTATGAGGCTGATATTAAGTGTAACTTCAAGAAAAAAACAACTAGTGGAAGAACAATAACAATAGCATTTAAAAAAAAACAACTTTTTTCTGTCCATCTTGCCCGAGCTGCTCCTATTTCTTCTTCTATTTTCTGGTAGTCTGGATGCTTGCATCACCACGGTGCCTTTCATTGGTCAATTTCGTACTACACCCGACTCATTTGGCAGACATGCAAACTGTTTGGTGGTGATATCGTCTGTGGTGTGTTAGCTCAAAAAAGTATTACCCCCTTCACATTCAAAGCCACCAAACACAACCGAGATTGAGGAGCTTTTGCAGGACTCAGACAGAGGTGAGCTGTGGTGCACGCTAGCTGGCCACACTATCCTTGTGCCTACTTTTACTCTTTGCATTTCACTTTACACTACGCGAAGCCCAGAATTTTGTCTCGGAGCCATGACAATAATCCGAAGTTTAGAACATTTGGAACCTTAAATTTGTTCTGTCACCGTCCAGGACTCAATGTACGTTTTGGCGTATAACGTGAACATTCCGTTACCTAATGATTCTTTCATTTTAAAAGAATAGTACCAGTGGAGGACAGGCTTGACCTCGAAGAGCAAAAACTCTCTAGCTGGACAAGTGTCAAGGGTACAAAAGCAGTCCCTTCGTGGGTAGTGCATCCGTGCTATTAAGACGCAGTGATGGAAAAATTCATAAGAGTCACCCTTGGTGCATGTTTAGACTGTTTACTACATGCGACAGTACAGAAAACACACCCTGGAACTCTTACAAAAACACACCTGGAGAATTTTGTATCTTGTGAGTTTTGGGTCCTGTTTGTGTACATTTTGCGCTGCACGGCTGTCAGGAGCTGGACCGCTGCCACTCAATGAGAGAAGATTTGTCCGAGATACTCCAAAGCTCCGAGAGGAACTTCTCCTTCCTCCTCCTGGTAGAGAGACAAAATGACACCAACCACTCATCATCACACTAAAGCGCACACACATGCACGTATTCCCCAACATGTGTACGCTGTCTTTTGTAGTATATACATTGACAGCTGTGTGCGGTCAACCTCTGCCCGGCGGCTTTAACCGCCTCCGTGTGTGTCTTGTGTACTCAGCGTGGTCTCATTCCAACGAAGCACAAACATTTCATATAGGAAAGATTACACTGATGAGGACGTATCACTGCGTGTGTGTGTGTGTGTGTGTGTGTGTGTGTGTGTGCGTGTGTGTGTGTGTGTTAAACAGACATTTCATATGGTGAGGATTACTTAGGCAGAACCTATGCGCCGATGAACTCCCAGCAGGCCGCCTGCTCCACAGCCTTTATTTGGACGGTGCTTTCCAACCTTTATTGAGCCAAGGCACGACTTCAGATGTTTAATTTTATTTTTTTATTTTGTTAATTGGTGCTAATGCGCTGAAAGTCAAGTTGAGGCACCGCTGCTAGTCTGCATGTGCTGACCGACAACCTGTTAATTCCAGCCAAATATCCGCGTTGCTAAAACCCGAGATTCAACGACAAGCTATAACCATCATTTGCCAAATATGTGAGAAGTGGACTGATGTGTATCCCAAGCCTTTAATAAGCCAATTTTCCAGAATTTATATTCACGAAATGAAAATGTTTCATTTGCTTTTGTGTCCTTTTGTTTGGTTCGGTTCAATTATCTCCTAGCTAAAAGCGTCAAATTCATGCGGGTTTTGTGTGGCGGTGGGCAAATAGTCCCACAGAGCCACATGCAAGTCAAGGTTTCGAGAAAAAAAAAAAACCATGACATAAATGATGCTTCTATAACGCACAAGGTTGTCTTTCACCCCTGGTAGCAGGCACACACAAAGGCGGCAAGAGGCTTCACTAATTTCTCTCGTCTTGAGAATATTGTGTACAGTTTGTGGATGGGAATTGTGAGCACGACGATGAAATCAGGTTCATTTGGGCGTCAACCCTTGCATAAACACTCCGTTTTGTGTGTGTGCGTGTGTGTGTGTGTGTTAAACAGACATTTCATATGGTGAGGATTACTTAGGCAGAACCTATGCGCCGATGAACTCCCAGCAGGCCGCCTGCTCCACAGCCTTTATTTGGACGGTGCTTTCCAACCTTTATTGAGCCAAGGCACGACTTCAGATGTTTAATTTTATTTTTTTATTTTGTTAATTGGTGCTAATGCGCTGAAAGTCAAGTTGAGGCACCGCTGCTAGTCTGCATGTGCTGACCGACAACCTGTTAATTCCAGCCAAATATCCGCGTTGCTAAAACCCGAGATTCAACGACAAGCTATAACCATCATTTGCCAAATATGTGAGAAGTGGACTGATGTGTATCCCAAGCCTTTAATAAGCCAATTTTCCAGAATTTATATTCACGAAATGAAAATGTTTCATTTGCTTTTGTGTCCTTTTGTTTGGTTCGGTTCAATTATCTCCTAGCTAAAAGCGTCAAATTCATGCGGGTTTTGTGTGGCGGTGGGCAAATAGTCCCACAGAGCCACATGCAAGTCAAGGTTTCGAGAAAAAAAAAAAACCATGACATAAATGATGCTTCTATAACGCACAAGGTTGTCTTTCACCCCTGGTAGCAGGCACACACAAAGGCGGCAAGAGGCTTCACTAATTTCTCTCGTCTTGAGAATATTGTGTACAGTTTGTGGATGGGAATTGTGAGCACGACGATGAAATCAGGTTCATTTGGGCGTCAACCCTTGCATAAACACTCCGTTTGATGTCACCGAAGCTGCTTTAAATTCAACCTCACGACACACAGACTGGCCGCTCTGACATGTCAGGATCCATTAAAGCTCAAATCAGATGACTTTTTTTTTTTTTTTTTTAAGCTTAAAGGGCTCGCGTCTGCTGTTTCCATAAAAGTTCATCTTGGGGTGAAAGTGTGGATTAGATGACAGATAATAGACATTCATTTTATTGTAAACGAAGGCTGGTCCGCAAACATGATTTCAGGGGTTTTGAAACATGAAAAGCTTTCCAGATGAAAGATTTTGCATGTAAATCAATCATCGTGTCACCATCAAATAGCGGCTTGGCACCTTGCCTCATTTGATCACAAAGCGTGCCATCTACTCGTAAAGCTCTTCTTTCTCGCATGACGTAGCGTTCCCGACAAACGCAGACTTTTTAGTCTAACAAGACTTTGAGAAGTGAGTCGAAAATAAGAAAACACATCGATCCACAGTCGATGATACAGAGTCGGTAAAGTGGAACAAATGCCAGCTGACTTTGGTGAAAGGCGAGGTGTACCCTGGACTGGTCGCCATTTAATCACAGGACATGGATAGATAAACAACATTCACTATCTCACCTACCATATGGACAATTCAGAGCCTAAACCTATCACAGACTGGACACGTTTTTTATAATGTGGGAGTAGCTGGAGGACCGGGAGAAAATAAAGGCAGAGCAAGGAGAGAAAGTGCAAACTACCACGTGGGAAGCGAGAGATTTGAAATCAGAAACTCAGCACTGCCAGGCAGACGGGCTGCCCGTTCCTCACAATGCTGATGTTAAATGAAAGGGAATACATATTATCCCTCATGAAAGGACGTGGCTGAAATGAGATTGAGATGCAGACATTTGCTTGACGGCATTTTTCTTTTTAGCTCTAAATTGCATTGGGGTTGAATTTCCTCATGATTTCATCAGCGCATTACAGCGGACCCCCCTCCCCGCCCCCAGGACTCCCCATAGAGATCGATCGGGCTAGGCCATGAATAATAAAGACCTTGTTGTTGTTAATCAGTACGTGACAGTTGGAAGAGATTTGTAACAGATTTGGAACAGATCTTAACAAGAATCATGAAAGTCGACGCATGTGATTTTCTTTTGCGCCCCCCCCCCCCAGCCTCTATTTTGACATGTGTGCTTTCGACGATGCAGCCCACATCAGGGAGTATGTTTACTGTTCTGTAGAGCAGAAACCCCCAACCTTTTTTGCTCCATGGACCAGTTTAATGTCAGACAATATTTTCAGGGACCAGCCTTTAAGGTGTGATCGATAAATACAACAAAATAATATGATATGACCCGCATGAAAACTGTGGTATTTTCGAAAAATAATAATAAACACGAATCATGACATGAGGAACGTCCTATGTGGCCGCAACACTCTCTGGTCGCTATGATCACGGAAAAAAAGTAAATCCGAATTTTAAGTTGGACTCTTGATACTGTCTATTAAATGTAGACTTCTTTTTTTTCAACGTCGTAGGCTCCTCTTCTGTCTCCTGGCTAGGATTTTTCCCCTTCCCAAAGACGTTTGTTTTTTTACTCATTTTGCTAGCTCCTGGCTTTCATTTTAGCGGTAACTGATCATATGACCAAGAAGCGCTCCTTGACCTGCGTCAAGAGGAACACACTGTAGCAGAGAATCCGCTAACTTTTCAAAATACAATATCTTCCAGATTCTGAAATAAATAAAATGGAAGTCATGTAAATCCTTCATTCTTTTGTGCGGCCCAGTAACAAATGCCCCACGGACCGGTACCGGTCCGTGGCCCGGGATTGGGGACCCCTGCTGTAGAGAACTGCAAGCCTGAAGCTTATTGGGCCAACGTCATTTGAGAAAAAAGCATTACTGATTGTGTGCATGTGTTCACCTTCGGGAGTTGACCGCGTCCTCAAGCTCCCGGGCCTTGAGAGCCGCGGTCTGGAGTATTGACTCCGGGATATCAGCCAAGCGGGCCACATTGAGGCCGTAACTGCGTGCGGCGGCTCCTTCGCTTAACTGGTAGAGGAAGGTGATGAATTCAGGACGAATGTCTCCATCTGCGCAGACACGGTTCAGGTGAGTTTGAAACAGCACCGCCTGAAAACGGAACTGGAACGTGCCTAAAACATGTTAACGTGCATACAGAAGCTTACCTCGTGTGTCAGTAGCCACATCGGGTTCATTGAGGAGGAAGGACATGTGGTAGTTGGACACGTGTTGCGGGTACGCCCACTCCAGCTCACATAAGGGAAGGTAGTGGGTCACAAAGAGGGTGAAACATCTCACCTGCAATGGAGGCAGGACAGAGGTACAGTACAACGTAAAGCCATAGTCCATTTTCGGAAGAATGTGTCCTTATTGGGGTCGCAGGTGTCGGAGAGCCTGTCCCTGTTGACGTTGGGCCAGGAGCGGGGTACACCCTGGACAAATGGCCAGCCAATCGCAAAGCAAATGTCGACAAACAGCCACTCATACTCGCCTATAAGGAAGTGAAACACTTCGGTCAGTCTTTGGTCGAAAAGGAAACAGGAGAAAATGACACCCAGATGTGTGGATTGACCAATAGTATTTGTCGAAAAATATGACATTTCACAAAATGTGATGTCAGCGATATTTAACAATTACATGAGCCAAAAGGCACAACTGCTTCTCCCATTTTTTTTTTGTATATTTGATCACGTCTTGATTCTGTTTGCAAATGTAAACTTAAAATTGGATTAGTTTTAACCATTTTTTTTTCTCGAACTTGATGTTTGACGGGGTGTGTGGCTAATTGGGAAAGGCTAATTGTAGACCATTCAAATATTTTCTCAAAATGTAAGTAATGACAATTGCTACCAATGAATCTCTCGAAACAAATTTTCCATTCAAAACTTGACCAGGGTGTAAATTACTTGAAATGAATTGCCCGAAGTGCTGCATGTGTTCAGTTAAAGGCTAACCCATGTCAACATGACTGTTTTTCGACTTTTTCCACGCTATGGAAAGTCTGTTCAAAAAAATAAGCCTAAAAATGAAAGCAAGCGACGACGAGACTAAATTCACTTGCCATGTGAGCTAACCCCTGCCCGCCTACTCAGCAGTTTTGCAAGCCACTACCAACAAATAAGAATTTCAGATCCGCGCAAATTTATGAAACATGTTCACGCAGATGCTCCAGTGTTCATGTTGGATTTTGTCATCTTTCTAACAATCCGATGTCCACATTTTACCACATGACATACCTCCTCATTCTGGGGACATTTTTCCCAAAGGCGTGTTTTTTTATTTACACTGACTGATGATTACAGTTTGGTTCGGCTTAAAAAAAAAAAAATTGACGGACTAAATTGATCCAAAATTGGGGCATAGTCATGGTGAGAAAAGGGCAAATTAAATTGGAAGCCCAAATTTTCCCCCAAAATCTCAGTAAATTGAACTATGAAGATTCAACTAATGGCTAAATTAAATAAGGCTTTTGCCTAAAAGATGTGTGAAGACCAAGATAATACGACTGTGCCAGTCCCGTGTTTGTTTATGTACATACGTGTTGATGATTATCAAGTCTTTTTTGGCGTGCAAGAGAAATATGTAGGAGGGGGAAAAATAGGGATTGAAAAAATGTAATACACACAACAAATGGGAGGCGTGGTAACGATTATGTAACAGTCTGCCTCTGCTGAAGAACAAAGAGGATTTGTATCGACTGTGTACTCAAATCAAAACATTCTTTGTGGACTAATCCACCAATTGTTTTTTTTTTTTTGTATTTTGGGATTTCTCACTGCAAGCATTCACTTCTGAAGCCTTTGACATCTTTCTAGTCAATAACGACAATGTGGACGTTATTGATTGATTGAATGCACTGCATTACATTTACGACATAAATGGGGAGAAACGTGGTGGTGTGAGCTCAAGTACACACCGGCCGACGCTTCATGACAACAAACGCAATTAATTCTCCTGCTTAATTTAGCGACTTGCTCGAGCGCAAATGAAAAAAAAAAAAAAAAACACAAAAATAATTAAAGTTGGATTAGCCACCCCCCCCCCTTAAACCACCAGTAATGAAGATGAATTCTGAAGATGAAATCAAACTGTTCTCGAACCGCCAAACTCCGGGACGAGCATACCTCGCTCGGCGTGACAAAGGTCACGTCGCTAGAAATACTGGACCTCGGTCTGAACAGGACCACGGGGGTGACACCCACCCTCTTCCGGGAAAGTGCAACACGCATGGACACGCAAACACGCACACGCGTTACTTTAAATCGCTCCTGTCCACCTGCGTTGAAAGGGGCCAAAAAAAAAAAAATGGAGCCCGGTGACGGTTGGCATCTGAATAATGGTCTGATTGGATGCTAATGGCCGCTCGTTAGCGGAGCACCCCAGGGTGCACTGACAGCCTCGTCGGTGGGAGACGCTGATGAAATTAAGAGTTGAAGCGATTAAGTGAAGTCATCGATTAGTTGATAGAAAGTTCATGAGCTCAAATTATTCATGCTGACGGCTTCCAGTTCTGGCTCCAATCGAGTACATCATTCTAGTAATTGTTAATATAAAGCTTCAGTTCCACACAGTTGTGTGAGGCCTTTTTCCTAACGACGAGCTGTCAGCCAGCAATGGGATTTGAGCATATTGGCGGGTGATCTGATCCTAGGCAAAAGGCTCGAGGTGTCAACACAGCAACACGCCCCGTAATGTTTTTCGATCCAATTAGACGCGACGACATTTCCTTTCTGCTGTGCCAGTGTATGCACCTCACAGCTAACAAGCGCTCACTAAGGGCAGTTGGTGAGCTCCAAAAACAAAGTGGATAAGATTTAGTGTCAGCGTTGCATGTGAAGACGTCGCTGACCGGCAACGCTGTTATCTTGTTTGGGTTCAACAATAAGGTGACCAGCCGATGACCTTTAATTTTTTTTTTAATTCATCACTCCGCAGGAAGAGCTGTCAGTTTGAGGCTCCGTCATCGACTGGTTGGAGTCACTCGAGGAATTATGCTCAGTACAAAGACATGAATGAAGGTATACACTTGCAACCATCCACACTCACACTCAAACCTATGGACAATTTAGAGTGTTCAATGAGCCTGACATGCATGTTTTTGGAATGTGGGAGGAAGCCGGAGTACCCAGAAAAAACCCACGCAGGCCCGGGGAGAACATGCAAGCTCCACACAGGGAGGCCGGAGCTGGAATTGAACCCGGTACCTCTGCACTGTGAGGTCGACGCGCTAACCACTTGATCACCGGGCTGCCATGAGAATATGTGTCACTTAAAAATATGTTTCTTGTTAGTATTTGTGCTTTGCAGTGGTCTACAGCTACTCACCATCATAATGAGCCATTACTCGACAATAATGAAGTCTATGTTCACGACAAATGCAAGGTCTATAGTAGTAGTGGGGAAACTGTGGCCTGGAGGCCACATATGACCGGCTCTATGCTTTCACGATGGTCTAAAAAGCATTTAACATTATGAATATTTGTTGCATTTATCAGTTTATAAAGGTGAATAATTTTCTTGGTTCATTTTTTACCGACCTGTTTGCAATTGGACAAACAAAAGGCTTCCTCCCTGTTCAAGTTCACTGTCAAACTAAACATACAAGAGACAACTACCCATTTTGTACTAAAAAACAAACAAACAAACAAAAGAAAAACATAGCTTTGGCTTAATATCCGCTGGCTTAATGTTGACCCACATTGGGAAACACTGTCGGTGGGCTCATGAAAAGCATTGGTTATATAACCCTGTAAACAACAAGTATTTGAACACAAATGGTGGAGCAACACATGTAGACAGATTATGTAACAATAGTCACAGGCACATACTCTTTATCCTCTGCCAAAAACGAATTCAGACAATTTTATTTATATGGCCCTTAACCAGAAAAGAGTCTCAAAAGGCTCACAAGTCAATAGTTGACAAATACTAACGATGTCCCCTGAACTTAACCCCACAGGAGGGCAAAGACAAACTCCAAAAACCCGATCTGGGGAAAAATAAGAAACCTTGAGAGAGGGGTGCACCACGAATATTACTGATCCAATGACTGCCATATTCCCTGTGCCTTTACCAACTGATCAACGACTGCGGAAAATTGCAAACTGAAAAGCTTTCTTCCGGCAGTCGCCTTCATAAATCTTACTGGACCGGTACCAAAGAGAAGTTCTAGCATCATCACATTTTCCTATACGCAGATTCACGATACATCACAACACGTCACTTTCATCGATGTGGAGACAGCATTGAGTAAGATGATGCTGTGAGTTGGATTTTGCAAAAGGCTCGGTCCACCTGCTGCTGTTTTATGTGAGCTGTGACCGGCTCGGCCCGTGCAAAAAGAAGAGAGCAATGCGTGTGAAGCTAATAGCAGGACCTGCTGCTAAGTGTGAACACCCCAACGAGTCTGATTTAGTAATGTCTGAGGAGGAGGCCACTGCAAAACGTTTTCGCTCAGAGGAAACATCAGAAAGGACCCTTGTGCGCAGCAGATGTGACACACAACACAAAACCCCGCCGCAACAAATCCGTGGAGCTTTTCCTCTCATTCAGCATCAAGGCTGTCTCGAGCGGTATTATGAAAGCCATCTACATTCTTAACTACCTCACGGGTGAATGCTGGGGGCAGGGAAAGGTGCGTTTCTATAACGACTGAGTAAAAAAGGAGAAGTCTGAATTTGACGCGAGCAGGCAGGTCTGGTGAGGAGGAAGAGGACATGGCAGTGGAGGAGGAGGAGTGGGAGGAAGAGCGCATGAAAGACAGTGTGGGTCTTCTTGTACCAAGGAGGGATATCACTGCAAAGCCAAACTTCTTTTTTTGCTTGTTTTTCCTTTTTATAGCCGGACCTCTCGAACAAATCAATGTTACACAACAAGTGGTTACGGAGTCAGCATCAGCTCTATCCTGCCTTAGTCACGTATGTTTTGCGCAAAATTACATAAACCACAAAACTGCCCCCCCCCCAAAAAAAAAAAAAAACACAATGACAAGGATATGTCCATTTGTCCGTAATGAGTGTAGAGTGGAAACAAGGTTGAACACAATCAATTCCAGGACGCTGGGCGACCTCTGGTTTATTAAAATTGTCCTCAAAGGTATGAATGAAAACAAAAATATAAAGATGCCTTGAGTTTGCCTACAAGTTGAATTAATTCCATGATCACGCTCGTAACCAAAAACATTTGTATCTTAAATCCATCAATCCATCCATTTTCTGATCGGCTTTTATCCTCACAAGGGTCACGGGGCGTGCCGGAGCCTATCCCAGCTGTCTTCGGGCAGTAATCGGGGGACACCCTGTGCCAGTTGCCAGCCAATCACAGGGCACACAGAGACGAACAACCATCCGCGCTCACACTCACACCTAGTGACAATTTAGAGTGTTCAATCAGCCTGCCATGCATGTTTTTGGAATGTGGGAGGAAACTGCAGTACCCAGAGAAAACCCACGCAGGCACGGGGAAAACATGCAAACTCCACACAGGAAGGCCGGAGCTGTGATCGAACCCACGACTTCTGCACTGTGAGGTCGATGCGCTAACCACTGGACCACCGGGACTTTTCATGGGTTGGAGGTGGAAAAACAACCTGATCAAACACCAGTGTTACAACACCATCCATCTTTTTGTTGCTAACAGTTGTATAGAGTACTAGAATAAATCACGATACTAACAGCTGATATGAGATCACAGAAAACATCATATGGAAGCAGAGACCTCCTTTATGAGAACAAAAGTGAGCCGCATGACATTTTGATCGTGTGACTTTTTTGAAGCAATAAAAACGAGGCCCGCCGCAGCACAGCCAACAAATTAGGCACGGGTGGATCACTTTTGCCTCTTTTTCCGTTGCAGCTCAAAAACATTATTAAGATAATAGATCAAGCCTCACCATGAGTTCGCTCCATTTTGAAGAGCTACTGCACTGACGAGGCTTCCCCATTGCCTCGTACAGTATCTCTTTTTTCCCTTTCAAAACAAACAATAATGGTCTGGCAAGGCATATAAGCAAGTGCGGTAACAGGAGCGCACAAATACACAAAGATCCAATTAGAGGCCATTAACTCGAAGGTGAATTGAACTGACTTTCACATCACAACGCATGCTGTAATAAGACAAAGAAATGCACTGTTTAAGAAGAAGAAAGGTTTGGGTGGCCACATGCTTACATCTCTGATGAAGTACTCGAGGGTAGCATAGGCGATGGCGATGCCGTCATGGGTGCTGGTGCCCCGGCCCAGCTCATCCAGGATGACCAGGGAGCGCTCCGTCGCGTGGGAAATAATCTCCGAGGCTTCGGTCAACTCCTCCATGAAGGTACTGCGCCCTTTGTAGATGTTGTCCGACGCGCCCATTCTGATCATCGGATAGAAGGAAGAGGAAGTCAAGGTTAAACTTACTTTACCAAATGAAAATATAAGCCGTATATCAAGCTTCAAATATTTGGGCGTGTCTTAAAGGTGGCTGATAGTATCTTTTGGATGATTTTGTGAGGAAAAGTGTGCAAATATTAAGTTAAGATGTCCTATATTGATAGACTCCTACTTTAAAAAATACTGAAGGCTGAGTGAGGATAAGCGCATTACAAAATGGATGGATGGAAAAAAAAATCTCTTTCCCAGTGACATATGATGAAAAGCAAAACATTTAAGTCGGTACAAAAGCACAATTAACACACTTACTACCATTCATAAAACTGCATGACAACTTTGTGTTCAATTAAACAAGCCCAGATATCCCGCTGAAGTACATTTTAGAGTAAACTGAGATGAGATCATCATCATTTCGGAAACACTTGCTCGAGTGAAAAACTAATTTGGTGGCAGAAAGTAGAACACTGAACACGTTTACATCCCTCATGAGCAATCTACAGCATCTAATGCATGGCACCATCTCCAGAAAAAGGAAATCATTCCTTTTCCATGCCATTTGGGAAGGAATTTTGCTAATATTCCCTCAACTCTGAACTGTCGACATTTTGTCGATTTTTATTCTTCAGGCACCAATGAATGATGCCAACGTGTCACTCCCATGTCACCATGATTACCCCCCACATGCCGCACGGAAAAAGGGCGTGGCAGGCATGCAGCTGCATTTCATGAGCTCATTTACAACATCGTGTCCGTGCATGAGTGTGACTCGAGGGAAATTATGGCCAATCTATAGGTTGCGTGCGCACCACAGCAAGAACGGGTACAATCCGATGTTCCCGCACACTCGTCTGTCCACGGGTGAGAGGACATGTACTGCGAGTGTCCAGCTGGAGCTGCTCATCGCGGCCAAAATCACAGATTGTGAAAACAGGCTCTATTTATCACCACTCACATCTTTCCAGTAAACATGCTTAGCCACATCTCAAGCGTTTCTGGAAAACCGCTTCGCTGCATTTACAATTCCATGATGACGCTGGTCAAAGTCTGTTGCATGAAAGCCACTGCTTCGCTCAAGTGTTCATGCATGAACAAATAGTCACAAGACATTTTAAGGAAAAATGATATTACACTGAACATAAACGCCAATTGCTACCTAATTCCTGGATTGAAAATTATTGTAATTTTTTTTCTAATGTACTTTTCTTCAAAAAAAAGTTTCACTTTTCAAATTAAACACTTGACGAGCTTTCTATAACATTTTTTGTGGTAGTCTAGCCCGCAATGGTGCATTGAAAAAGTTACTGCTTTGTTTTGATTAACACTTCATTTCCGTTAGATTGCCAAGAGACCGGTAAAAAAATTCTATGGATGAATTATGACAGAAAACACGATTGAGGCTCTTAGGCCATGATAATAAACATATTGTTCGACTAAAACACAGGTGTTAAACTCAAGGGGCTAGATCGGACCTGCCACATCATTTTATGTGGCCCTCGAAAGAAAATCAAACATGTCAACTTCCATGAATTGATGAATTTTTTGGGGGGGGCGGGGGGCTTTTAACAAGTCACACAAAGAGGTTTAACCGCCATGATGCATGACAACCCCGGGAGGTCAACATGAAGGGCATGATTGACTAAAATCCTAAACAGTGGCCACTGTGCTGGTGGCAACAAGGGTAAAATTGGTGAGGACCGCCCTATTAAAAAGTGCAATTCTTATAATTCGGTAATTATTGCTCACCATTGCCTAATAATTCCCCGAATAATTCACCTTCAGAAGTTCCGGTATATGTTGACCCACAAAAGAGCATTCACTGCTCCGAGTAATCGGTGTGTTACGCAGCACTACGAAGCTTCACACTGATTTTGTCACCTCTTTCGACTCGACTGCTATGTGCGAGAGCAGTTTCCTGCGCAATGGCTGATTTTAGAAGCGCACATGCTGTGAAAGACCCGAGCAGACATGTGCGCCGCCTACAAAGAGGAACAGGCGGTCTGTAAACTATTAAAAAGCCGGGATGCAGCGCCGCGCAACAGAACCACCACAACACTAGCCGAGGACGATGACGATGTCACATATGCGCCATCTCCGCTGTTTGACTATGGGACCTTTTCAAAACACACTTTCTCCCTTTAGCTGTTTCCATAACAACCGTGGAGGGATGCAGGACTGTGCTTTGAAAGCTTCAGGACTTAATGCAGACCAAAAAAAAAAAAAAAAAAAAAAAAAAAAAAAAAAAAAAAACTGCTGCAAACATGCACATTTGTATGACTTGCCTACTGGGGTTAACTGCTGAAGAACAAACACAAACATATTCATATATGGGAACTTATTTCTGATATGTACTGTGAAAATAAAAGCATGGGAGGGAGGGGAAACTGAAATTGTGTGAGCTGTTGTGCCACTTGAAAAGCTCACACTGATAATCAATAACGGGGATCATCTCAGACAGGGAAGCCCATTAGACACCCACGCGGCATTTCATTACCGCCGCCAAACCCACTAACTTTGCTCCATTCCAATCCACTTCTATAAAATCTTCCCGCCCCATCCGTCTCCCTTTCACTTATTAGAGCGGAAAACTCACAAAACGAAACGACAATGTTACACATAATAGATGCAGCAGAGGGACTTGGGTGGGCGTTTATTATCCATATAAACGTTTCCTCTGTCCCAATTAGAAATTGATAGGTTGATAAAAGAAACTGAGAGGTGAACATAGGGCAGCGCGCTTTCTCGGGGGACACTAATTAGCTCTTAGATGCATTTTTTTCCCCTGATAGACAGGGGATATTAACCTCCACGCCAGTAAAATCCCTTGGCTAACCACAACACCAGCTCGCCCCCAGTCAAACAAAGCCATGAGTCATACTTAAAGTGCACAATAAGTGCTTGAACCACCTTTAAAAGGATTCAAACATACTATAGGTACAACAATTAATCAAATTAATTAAATTATTTTGATAATTCCTTGGAGTTTTAGCCTCTCAACAGTAAAACTTCAAAAGAATGAGTATCTCAAACACAGGTGTCAAATTGTGGGCAAGATCCAGGCCTCCGCATCTGAATGTGTGCTTTTAGTACATATGTTAGACTGACATTATTTCCTATGTGAGATATCGCTTTGGTTTTCGTACAGTTTAGTCTGAGTCGGGACTTGGTTACACTGTGTTTTAAACTGTATTTTTAGGAAGGGGTGAGGGGAGAGGGTCTACAAAATAAGGAACGGAATTTTTTGAATGTCAACGTTGCACTATATTTACTTATATCTGTCTTGATTTGGCCCAAAAAACACACAATGACCAGTGATGCAATATATACCAATCATCTATATACCGAGGCGACAAGTTTTTATTGCTTTCTGTTCCTAAAAAGGCATTTAGAGCCCGGATAACCTGAAAGTAACTTCACTCGACCAAGGGCCATACAACAGAACCTTAAGATTTGAAGACAGAGCCTAAAACACCCCAAAACTGTATTTCTCACAACTGTTTTTTTCTCCCACCGGGTTAATTCATGAGAAAATGCTTAAACCCACAACAAAAGAAAATTACACACATCTGCAAGCCATTATGTCTCATCGCAGAGTGCAGCAGGGCCACAAATACAGAGAGAATACTGTATATTGTGGAGTGCGGAGTGGAAAGTGCACATAGAGCTGAACATAATCGAAAGATCTCTCTCCAACAAACATGTATTGTATTGTCAGTTTGCTCCTAACGCAACACAACCTAACCATGCTTCATCTTCATCTGTGGTGAAGGACACGGTGAGATTACCACGGATTAGCCTGTACTGTCACGCCTAAAAATACACTTGACACGGTGATACTTGATGACAGAATACATATTTTTTCCCCTCTCATTTTTTTTCCCGGGTTGTCAGACAGACTCGTCACACACAATTACAAGAAATAACAGACCTGCAGTGTTGTCATGGCAACTGTCCATCACTCACCAGTTACGTCTACAATCCAATGAAATCCATCCATCCATTTCCAACAGCGCTTATTCTAACAGGTTCGCGGGGAGTTGCTGTTGCCTATGCCAGCAGACCTCGGGCGGAAGGCACACTAGACCCTGAACTGGTCGCCAGTCAGTCACAGGGCACATATAGAGACCAGTCACACCCACATTCACACCGTCACTGAGTGAGACCCGTCCCCATGATGCCCGCACATACGTGTACCACTACACCATCAGTGACTCTAATGAAATCAAATTTTTCTATTACCTTCACTTATTTTGATTGTATGTGTTTTTTTGCAAGTTTGTTTGCATTGGTGTGCAGGTTTGCTTAAAAAAAATCTGGTGCAGAAATTTGGTCCAGTTGGTATGGATGCAGTGTATTTTAAAATGTAATTTTATTCAACGCAGAGTCAACTTTGATTGGAGGTTAGTCAATTTATCCACAGGTGTCAAACATTTTCCACTGGACTCAGTCCTACCTGGTGTAAATGGCATCCAAAATGCCCAAATTGGCCGCAGAACTGGGGACATAGGAGCCCATTTGAGCCATAATGCAGATCAGGGCCACTTGGCGGATGTAGGAGCTCTTTCCCCCCATGTTTGGGCCAGTGATGATCATTGTTCTTTGTCCATCCGCCTTTAGTGAAGAAGAAGTCAGGAGTTGTAACAAAAGGAAAAAAACGTACTTGGAAGTGATATACAGTCAAGGGATATTTGGATGCTAAGGAGGTGGGAGGACTTGAAGCGTTGGCTTGTTAAAACGGAAACCCACTCAAATAGTGACGGGCAAAGTGTGCTTGTGCTGTTATCTACATTCGTGTGTGTGTGTGTGTGTGTGTGTGTGTGTGTGAGTGAGAGAGAGAAAGACATATGTGCTGCTGGCATTTTCTTTCGGCAATGTGAGTATGCAAACATCTGTGTGATTTATCTTAGCTTTAGGTCAAAAGCTTTTGCACGTTCCTGTCTGTAGACGTGTGTGTACCTGTAGCTGCGCATGATTGGGCACATACTGGCTGTGCTCTCCCATGAGTAGGTCTATAGCGGGGTGTCTGCCATCCTTGATCACAATTTGACGCTCACTGTCAGACACCTCTGGCCTGCAACAGAATAAAAAGAGAAAATTATAGAGGTGACAGTTGCAGTTCTGAATAATGAAAGGAATAAAACTAATGGCGAGATAAGCGTAAATCATGGGGGGGAAGCAGGGAGGAGAGAATGGAATTGACCAAGGTTGGGGGTAAAGGATTGAGATGGCAGGTGGAGGGTTTGGATTTATGAATGACATGAGAGGTTTGGGAGGCATCAGGGAGGCAGAAATGCATGACAATTTTGGGCTCAGACATTTCCTTTCTGTAGTCATTTCATCATTCATGTTAATTGAAATGTTTTTTTGTGTGAATATTGAGCCCTTTTTTCTGCCTAATATTAAAAATGCATTTTTTTCAATATTTGTTATTTTCGTAGCATTTTAATCTCTGCTTTTTTTCAGTGTGGTCTTAAAAATGATTTGGCACCGCAGCAAGGATTTTTCAGTCAAGGTTTTATATAATAACAATCGTTCTTCGGGTTGTATTTGGATATAGTCGGTGTGTGTGTGTGTCTGTGTGTGCACAAGTGTGTGTGTGTCAGTGAGTGGGACAAATGTTGGCGTTCTGGCTGAGCACGCTGCTCAGCCCAATGCACTCACCCACGCACCGCCTGCCCGATACTATAGGACACGACACTGGAAACATGTATGTATACACACATGCGTGCGCGCGCGTGCACGCACGCACGCACGCACACACACACACACACAAAAACAAAATTGCAAGAGGATATCACCGGCAATATTCTCCATGTTTGGCCACCTCAGCCAATGAGAAGAGACAGTCCATGGTTGCTAGGTGACTAATAGCCCTTTTCATGGTGTGATAGTGCTCCCCAAACTGACTGCAAGAGAGCAATGAGGATAGAGAGATTTGCAAGCGTAAATTACCGGAAATGCATAATTGTATTTGCAGTCGATGGCACTGCTCGTGCACTTGAACAGAACATGACTGTGGCAGACAACACTTTGGACTGACTGAACACTCCAAACTGTGTTCATCATGCACAGAGCGTGTGTGTGTATATCATACTCCATAAAAGCGGTCCACTCCCTTTGGCAGTCCAGAAGCAGCTGCTCACGGAGCTGCAGCAGCTTCTTGTGACGCTCCACCACAAAGGGAGAGTGATACCTGCCGACCACTTTGGTGCTGCACAGCAAAAGGAGATGAAGTTCGTTTTTGATTTCTTGAAAAGAAGTGATTTAGGAGAGGCAAGTATTCCACCAGACAGCAACAATATGGACTGTAGCTTTTCAATACTGAATCCTGAAAAACCTTGTGTGGTTTTCTTCGTAAAGAAAGCTGCATTATAAGCCAGAACTGGAGAGTGCACGTCACATTCTCGCAAATTCGCACTCTTGCAAGAGTGACACGACTTCAAAATGACTCAGCAAAAGCAGATGTCACATCCTTATTACGCACATTTGACAATAAAGTTGTATTCAATTCAATTATTTTTGAATAAATACTTCATATAATTAGGTAAACAGCAGCTGAGAAAGCGGATATGAACCATTGTTGCTGAACCTGGCTTGACTTCTCTTCCCAAAAGGTGCACAACAAATAAATGGGTACCCAAGGCAGAAAAAAAATCCTCAAGCATTTTTTCATTTCGTTTTTATTTACTTTTTGTTGAAGTCATGAAGTCGTTTCATGTAATCAAAATAATTATTTGCCCCACCTTGTTTTCTGATAGCCTGGCAGTGATCGCGCCATGGTAGTCTAAATTTTAAAATACTGCATTTATAGCCCAAATAAGTCATTTTCCATCTTTCCATTCGTGTGTTGCAGCTCACCTGCTGACTTTAACCCAGTCACGAGGAACAATGGAGGACTGCGAGTTCTTCACCTCAATCAGAAACTGTCAGAAGAGGAGACAAACCGGCACTGAGCCACCACATCATAGTTCTTGACTTGTCTTGCCATTCAGGCTGCATCAGTAGGTACCTCCTGTCCTGACACGGTGGTGTAGTCGAGGGTGGGGGCTTTCAGCACAATTCGAACATGTTTGCGATGGTCCTGAATCTCTTGCAGAACTTTCTGGATTTGCTCTCTTCTTTCCCGCAGCACCGGAAAGCCAGAGAGATCCGAGAAGAGCTCTGTCTTATTCCCACACCTGCAACATGTGACAATGAAATTATATTGTATTCACGCTATCCCATCTTCAATTTCTTCTTTACCCTTAAAATACTCACTTGGCTGCCTTCTCATTAAGCACGCTGAGGAAGCCGTGGGCTGGGGCCAGCAGGTCCGGGGTGTCCACCAGGAGTCCTCGAATGAACCCAGAGCGGATCTGCGCTCTAATAGCCGGCAGCAGGGCTTGAAGTTCCAGTGCCAGGCGACAAAGCCTGCTGATGATGATGTAGAACTCCTGCGTGGACGACTACAACACATTTTTTCAATCATAAATGTTCGAAATAAACAACACACACCTTTATTTCTTTCCCTTCACTTTTCATTGACTGTTGTGCCGACAGACAACAAGATTAGCACACTAAATCTGATCTGCACTTGATACCAGAGATAAAATGTCAACGCATAATCATTGAGTGCAATATATTTCATCTACGCCTGATATTGAAGCTTAGGAAGAAAAAGGCAGTGTCTCATTGGAGCCCCGAGAAGTGTTTCAACACAATGTTTCAGCAGATTAAATCATTAAACAATCAGCAAACAAGCAGATGGAAATTTACTTCAATACCTTGATGACAGGATTTTAAGTAAGATTTAGTTTTCTTTCGTTTCTTACAATTGTCCTTCCTTCTGCTAGAGTCTATGTTGTTGTGTCTATAAGGGGACCTAGAAACAAAATATGTTGCTTTTCAAAGTATTATTTGGTAGAAAAGCAAATTAAAGCCATACTAAAACAAAAAGAAAACAAAAAAATCACGGGCCTGATTTATTCAAGGTTTGCATAACACAATTGCAAACTTGACTCTTGAAGTTGTTTGTCAAGTGAAGTCGTAATATTACGGGAAGAAAATCATTTCCATATTTTATCTCCAAATACAGCACACAACTTTTTCTCTCGAAAGTAAACAACTTTATTTTCCCAACATTGCTAAGCTTCCTGAAAACGAATGACTTCTTATTGAAAATGCAGTGCTTATTTTCCCAAAAAGATATACATTCACACATGGACAAAATAGTTGGCTCACATTAACCCTTAACGATGCGGAACTTTGCCCAAAGCTGCCTGACAGAAAAATTGTGCTTTGAATTTCTATTTTGTCAACAGACACACAAAGCCCTCATATGCCAAATAGCTTAATCGGCATATGACTGAGCCAATAAACTGTTATTGAGACAACAAGTAATGTAATGGCATTGTTTACATTGTGATTTGCGCTGGCAGCTTTAAAGGCCAAACCTGTGATCAGTTTAGATCAAGAGTATTGATTTATCAACGCACAGCATGGGCATGCCTCTTGGGAAGCGAAGCTGTTGCACTTTATGATTCCATTAGTGAAATTGCAGTGGACTTCTGCGTCACAAAGGGTTAATGAGAGTCACGGTGGGACAAAGCTTGCAGGTATAAATCACACACTGCTGCTTTACAGGTTCCCCTCATGTCAGCAGCCCCCTTAGATGAGTTCTTCTTGGAACACGCAGAAGTAGAGCCACTACATCCCAATAGTATGACATCCCCCGCGTCCCCTCATGAGCGGAGCCAGGGATACGAGCCATTACACACGGTCCTATTTATCTACAGAGAGCCCACATGAGAATTAGCGTCGTTGTTTGTGTGTCCGTGCGTGTGCGCTGAGTGACATTTATGTTGTTTTTGTCTATATGGAGGATTAAAAAGTTGAACACCCAGATGGGTGGTCGAGACCCTCTGACATTTGAAAGATGAGTCAGATGGGAAATGAGATTGCGTGAGACTTTCAGGTAATCTCTTGGTGTCACCCGTGTGGCTTTCTTTCAGGTGTCTCTTGACTTGTCCATGTGTCTCTCAAGATTCTTTCTCGCCGTCTCTCTTCAATGGACTCAGTGTCTCCCACTATCACAGCTTCTTTTTTTAGTATGTCCCGCTCAGTGTCTGTGTCTCAGTGACTCTCTCACTCTCAGTCTCTTTGTCTTTTCAAGTCTCTCTCTCGCTCTCTTTTTTCTCAATGTCTGTGTCCATTTCTTGCTCCCGGTGAATCAGTGCCTTTATGTATTTATTTTAAAATGACTACCTTTTTGTTGAATATGCTGCAAATTCCTCTCTCCAGATCAGGCAAATGCACCAGCAGGGATCTTGTGGAGTTTAATGTGAGAGAATCGGACTCCAGGATCTCCTGCACTGCATCCTGACGCTCCGAGATGGACCTAGAGTTCCAGGCACAAAATAGGATACCGGTACATAACTTGTAATAGTCCTTTTCAATGGGAATGGATAAACTCGTCAGATCTGTCAACAACTGTCATTCGAATCTGGGCTTGCATTTTTCAGAATCAACTCCATCTTTATGATTTCCCTTTTCCTCATTTCACTATTGTTGTGCCTTCCCCCAAAATGGCCTTGGGGTGGCTAAAGCGGCTTTACCGTTGCAGGTTATAGTATCACCTGTTGCTTTGGCAGGTACGAGAAGCCGTGTACTCACCGTGGGTCTGTGAGCGGACGAGTCACCCACTTCCTCATTAGTCTCCTCCCAAATGGAGTGTGCGTGTGGTCCAGCACCCACAGCAGACTGCCCCTCACACCGCCATCTGTCTGTAATTGAACACACAACACAATGGGAATGTGACACGCTCAACGAATAACTGCAGAATACAGCTTTGTTTAAAAGGAAGGAAAGGGGAAAAAAAAAGAGGACAAAGGACTTGGATTAGGACCAAAACTTTGTGCGTGTGCATGTATGTGTGTGCAGGATGCTTGACATCCGCGCGCCCCACAGGAGTCATGCCGAACCTTAAAGCCATTGCCCACGCGAGCCTAGCTTGTCACCGAGCAATTTGCTGGGAACTGAGAAGCAGTTTAAGTCGGCCGCTAAATCTTTACTGCCCACTGTGCAATGAGGAGAGAAAGCGGATTTTGTTGGACATCGAGATTTTGTCCACAAGCCTCCGGGGTGCTCAAAATCACGGAGTGAATGCCTATCATCAACATCTTAACAGCTAAGAGAAGTAAAGTTCCATAAAGATGCTCATGTTCAGGGGGATCCTTATTCTAAATGAGCATAACAAATTACAAACTGATCTGATGACTAGAGACAACAAATATATATACATACCGGTGTGTGTGTGTGTGTGTGTGTGTGTGTGTGTGTGTGTGTGTGTGTGTGTGTGTGTGTATATATATATATATATTTTTTTTTGATTGTGAATTTAAGTGTGACTGGGCATGTTCCTCATCACTTGAGAATTTGGTCTATACTGTAAATTTTTGCAAATTCAGGGTGTAGGCATAGCTATGTAGCTAACTGCATGTTGTAGTGGTAAAAACCATTTAGTGGGAGAGGGGCAACTAATGCTGTACGCCCAAGTGTATTACTGGGCAATAAATAAATAAAAATCTGTAAAACTTAATTGTAAGAAAACAGTTAAATGCTATATCTCCACAATTGAGTACTGCAATTCATGTCACTTTATAATGTCACATTGAGAACGCAATAAAAAATGCAATAAAAAACACAAAAGAAACATTAATCACCTGGTTGTTGAGGATTTCCAGGTTCCTGAGTGTGGCGGCGCTGAGGATCATTCCCTGTGACTCACCAGTCAGCCGTTGGAAGGAGCTGCAAGGAATAACACGAAATTATCACACTATATGGCCGAAGTACAACATTGTCCAATTGCTTCATGTAAAGTCCTTGCCCACACAGGGTCCTGGTTCACATTGGCATCTTTAGCAGACAAAAAAATAGGAACTTCATGGACAGACTGAGGTTTGACGTAAGTGTGTGTGTCTCTTGTATACCTTTCACTTCGAAGCACTCTGTCCAAGTTGAACTCTTGGAGGTATTGGATTAGAGGACCTAAACAGCAGATCACCGGGCTGTCCAATGATGCCACACTACATAGAGAGCGACAGCCTGGACAACACAAGCACATTTTTACTTATCCAACACCGTCATGAAACTGAGTGAGCATCTAAAGGATTTACTTTACATGGATGTATTGCGTTTTTTTTTTTTTAATGGATTATCTGGGAGGAGTTCAGATGTGCAAGATGAGGTGGCTCGGGCATCTGGTTAGGATGCCGCCATAGTGACATAATGCATAGGTAACGTATCCACCTTTTTTTTTTTTTTTTTAAAAACGCATTTACGAGTCATTCCCAGTCATGAGTTTTTTACTAGTCATTCCGAAAACGCACTGTGCGCATCACAGGGCGAAGCGGCGGAGGAGACGGGCTGGGGACAGACCAATCACGCTCGTCTTTGCGTCTGCAAAGTTGTGAAGCGTAACAGTGTGGATATTTGACTTGACACTCATCACTGAAATGATTATGGTTGAAAAGAATTCTGGAGTGGATTGTGGTGGCGTTTTAAGGTTCTGCTTGATAAATAAGACAGTAAAACGACACGATAATAAGGCAGAAGAAAGGAACACAAATACACACACCTTCGATCTGTGTGTGGCAATAGAATTCAGTGACCGTGTTCATTGCAGAGGCAAACTCAAAGTGGGCGCTGTCCCTCCTCTCAACTCGCACCTTGTCACCAGCCTGAGCACTGGAAGAAAATGACACGAATAAAAGCAAATATCATTTTCCTACCTAATGAAAGGGAAGAAAAAAAAAAGTCACTGTTCAAGCCATCTTTTCTTACACTCACACAAACATTGCATATCCGCCGCTTCATCTCATCTCATTCATTCATGCTGCAATGCTGCTTTCAAGGACTCGCTAGCTTTGTCCAATCTGTTGTTGCCAAGGCAACCGAGGCAAACATGTGGCTATGGATGCTGTTTTTTTTCCGAACACACAGGCACACGCACACGCACACGCACACACACACACACACACACACACACACACACACACACACACAAGCCATCGTTCATCAAGTCCGCCGCTGGTCGGACTGGGAGCAACAATGTTATTGTTCCAGTAAGCTCCATAAATCATTGAAGCAGTCAGTTCAAGCAAACGGTGAGTTTCTATCGATCAGTCGAGCTCTGTGAAGCACTTCTACCAAACATAAAACAGGTTGTAAAAGTGTACCAAGAGTTTGAGGCTCACAGAAAAGAATTGTGGTTTTGTTTTGCCTCATTTGAAATGTCAGCTTGGTAAAGCTGAAACATCAGCCTGCTTCAACAGGTATTTTATGCATATTTAATATCAGGAAGGCTGATAGGATGCAGCTATTTTTAAAAGTATGATGCGTTAGACGATGACTGATTATGCCAGGGGATTACTCCAAATCCTTCGAGTGAATATGGATGCTGACTTTCCTGATCATCAGTCTTGTATTTGGTTTCACCTGTCACGTTCAAACACACATGCTGGGAAACTTTTTTTCCTCTCTCTTTTACCCATTCAACAAAGAAAATGACAACTAGAAGACTGCATCACTTGCAATGTCTGAGGTTATCACAGAGGAGAAAGGGGCGAGACAGATGAGAGAGAGAGAGAGAGAGAGAGAGAGAGAGAGAGAGAGAGAGAGAGAGAAAAGAGCATGTGTGAAGTGCGCAGCAAAATGAATAACTTCTAAACGATCTATCAAAATCTAGAATGGCGTAATGTTTAATAGATTTGGACATGTAATGAACGTTATATTCGTTTATATTGAGTTGCAGGCCTGCAGGCAATGACTGCCGCCTCACCTCATAGAATCTGCTTATCAACTTAAAAATCTTCAAAAAAAAAAGAAATGAGACCAGTTGTGTCACAAAGCCTCATCCAGTGAGATTTTTCACCTGCTCAAATTCCCCTCACAAACCTGACTCGTGACCGCAGGCTGTGGGGTTGGTGAGTGAAACCGCTAATATAGCACCCTGATACCAACCAATCTCCTGGGGGCTCATTACCTGTCTCTTTGCGGACGCGCACGCCAGGTTGCCAGGGGGCCCGCTGCCACCACTTGGCCCTGGAGAGGTCAAGGTTGTTGGCAAGGTTGATCTGAATTTTTATTTTATTTTATTTTATTTTTTATGACAAGTCTTTTGATAAACTGGTGTGGATTTTTTCTTTCCAACAATTATGTTCCCTGATTAAAAGACTCAGTCATCGATTAATGAGTTACTTTAATATATATATTTATCATTCCTACTCAAATAATTTTACCAGGAGCAGAGAAAATTTAGAGTCTAAACTTTAGACGGTACAGTGGTCAGGTGGTTAAGGTGGCCTACCCTGCGATTTAGCCATCGACCAGTCCAATGTGCCCATGCCCTTCACCCCAAAACAGTTCAACTGCGACCCTAATGAGGATAACCAATTCACAAACTACATGGATAAACAGACAGCTAACTAGCTGAGAGTGAATCTGGAGCATCACTGCCCACTGGAGCCAAGCTCATTTACTCCATTGTGCCGCAATAGTTTCAAGATGCAAGTCTGCAATCAATTCCCCACAATTAACAACCAACAAATCTTTACATATTATCATCTCTGCTCTAATTCAGTTTTCCCAACCCTTATCGAGACAGGGCACCTATTTTAGATTACTACGCACAGCGCACCATCAAAGACAAATGTCACAAAAAATATGAACTCACAAATTTGAGTTATTGTGAAATCTGGGCCTGTTTAATTGAACAAAAGCTGATATATTCATAGGCGGCCATGATTTACTCTGTTATGAATGGCAACAGGTGGATACAGAGGTTTATTATACCTTCTGAAATATTAAGGAAAAGTATTTTATTGTTTTTGCCCGTGGGACTGTTTGCCGGCAGAGATGATGGAACAAAGATAAAGTTGTAATTCATAAATAATAATTACATAACTTCCTGCGGCACCCCTGATGATCTCTCACGGCATCCGAAAGTGCCACAGCACATTCGTTAGGAAACGATGCTCTAATAGATTGGCCTTGCTTGTGTGGCGCTCAAACAATGACCGCAGGCGCCGTTGTGAGCACACAAATGAACACCCAAAAGGCGAAAAGTACAACACAAATGAGGGTGAAGAATGACAAATGTGCACCAGGTAGGAGACAGCAGAGGCAGAAAGCAGCAGGCACCCCTCTATTTATCCAATCAACCTCATCAATTCTAATCCACTTCACTTCCTCCCACTCCGTCGTTTGATTTTCATTTGTGCTTTATGCAATGAAAGAGAGCCCCAAGAGGCTCATCGTTTGGCACAACGCTGGGCAGCACATGTACCTGCATTTTCATATTAATTTTTGGCAAGAGATAACAGAGACGTGTATGTGCAAACGTGTTGATATCATCCCTGAGGGGATCAATGTGTCTGAATTTACTGTTTTACATACCATTAAATTAACGGTTCATTGCATTCCAGTTTCCTCCCACATTCCAAAAACATGCATGATAGGTGAAGTGAATTGTTATTGTCCATGGGTGTGACTGGTTATTTGTCTATATGTGCGCTGCCACTGACTGGCGACCAGCCCAACATCAGCTGTGGTAGGCTCAAGCTCACTTGCGACACTCATGAGGAGAAGCATTATAGAAAATGGTTGGAGGGATGCGGAAAATGGGAAAAGACTCATGAAGAACAAGTTGTGGCGTGGTTTAAAAAAAAAAAGAAGGCCCACAACGACCCCTGGTGGCTACCTGGCATTGATAATGCTCTCCAACAGTTTCTGGGTCTGCGCTGAGAGGTCAGAAGGCACCAGGATCTCGACGGGGTTTATCATCAAGATACGGCTCTCCAGTTCGGAGCGAGACTGACTGTCAGGGAAAGAATCCAGCTGGACCTCTCCTGTGCTGGGCTGAACTGCCTGCATTTGCAAATTACCCGGACATAAGACACAATGGATATATACGGTATATATAGATTTATTCTATTCCACGTTGATGTTTTTCATTGTTGATGGAAGTAGCATTTACGAATAAGCCAAAGTACAACTAAGAAAGATAAAGTAGATGACTGCAGGGATGAGACCAGAAGGTGCTCCAGTCAAACTCACCACCAGCCCCACAGTGAGTTGCTTCTTCAACTTGTCCCAGTTCTCACTGACACACAAGAGGATGCTGTCAGGAGGCACCGACACATCATTGTGGCTTCCGCCCTCCATGTCATCTGGACTGCACACAGGATTGACGTCTCAGTGGACTGTTGAGGACAATGATGCTGGAGAAATGCAAGGCTATATATAAACTCACACTCTAACCCAGGGGTGGGCACATTACTTTGGTGAATGATCACATTTGGATTCACCCTTTGGCGCTCTATAATTTGCCCACCACTGCCCTACCCCAACCAAAATAGGACGGACAAAAAAAGGTGTGTATATCAACTGTTATTCCAGTCAAAGTTTCAAAAGCCCCTTTTAAAGCACTCTAGTCTTGCTTAATTAGACTTATGCTTGCTTTGACAGTGACGAGGAAGGCTGCAGCTAAAAACAAACCAAAAAAGCCAATAACGTTGTATTAGAATAAAGCTAACAGACTCATTGATCACGCGCTACCAAACAGTTAGCGTTTCAAAAGGATACCCTCTCCCACCAGCGTGGACTTGGTGTACAGAGCACTGAGTTGCCGGGCAAACAGAGTGTTCTTATTGGCCCCTGACGCTTTGATGGCGGAAGTCTCAGTCTGCTTGACAACACCCACCTGTGCAGCAAAAGACAACGTTGCGGTGTTAATACAATGGCTTTGGGGCTTTAAACTAACCCTACGGCACAAATGGGGGCTTGTGAAGTGTAATTTTACTGTCACTTGTCAGCATATTTCGGTGCTGTCAAATTAAAAGCAGACTGTACATCAAGAAAAACAATGAAATTACTTTTAGGCTTTAGATTTTTTGATGTAAAAAAAATGTTTTTTTTTTTAATATGAACTACTACAAAAATAAATCCAAATCACAATCATGTAATGACATCAGTCTATACTTCACAGCAGCAGGGAAAGCAGTGGAGCGCCAATGTTTTTCTGTAATGCTAAATAAAATTCTTTGCAGTCCAAATTCATACTTTGTGGCCGTGGGACACCAGCCGCCTGACGTGGACAAACAATCGGTGTGTGGGGATGCTGCACGTCATAAAGTTGTGGTCCAGGTGACAGAAGATATTCAGCTCCTTTGCGGCAATCTAACAACACATGTACGTTAAAAGTAATTGACGAACTCGGTTGAAATATATCTAATATTGATTTCTTACCTCAGCATCGTCTCCAAAAAACCTATACTTGTATCCACACTCCACAGCCAACAAGACATCCTTGTGCTGCTGCTTGAGCTGGATGACCTGCTGCTCCAGAGGAGTGTACGCACTCTTTGAACGTCGACAGAGGGCGCTATTGGTTGATGGAAGACTGACCTCTGTGGCCGTTCCTTCGGCATGTTGTCCTCCTGGCTTGGCAAACTGAGAGAAGTTCAACGTCTACAAATAGAAGATGCAGTGATTATATTTATCAGACAGAACCTAATTTTATTTATGACAAAAAAGAGGGGATACCTGCTTTGAGCTCTGCTCATCTTCTGATTTCTCTGCAAGTTGGTCATTGATGCATTGACTTTTGACACCATGACTCCCACCGCTTCCCTCCTTCACACGAGTCACAATATCACAGCTCTCGCCACTGGGCTCAGTCGGGCAAGTGAAGCCTTTCAGCCTCTCCAAGGTTGAAGGGCACAAACCCCCTGGGCCTCTGCTGAGTGGCGACTTTTGTTCTGAATCGGGAATAAGAATAGCTTTGTTGGAATTCGTGTTGTCATGATAACAAAATTCTGACTCGGATAATACACATACTGTACACTGACTGTACTGCATAATGTAATGATATCAAAAATCTAACACATCAGTAAAAGCAGATGGCAAAATGTTGTATATTCTATTTATACTGAATGTATGTATAGTAATAATAACATTATATGTTCAGTGCTGAAGAAGTGCAGTCCACGTGTTCACATGGCATTTTTCCATGAAAAACATCCTCCACAGCGATGTGAAGGACTCATCACCAATTATTGTCAACACTTGATTTCAGTTATTGCTGCCAAGGGTGACAGAAATCAGGAATTGGGCAAATACATTTTCAGGGCACTGTACATGTCCCCATTGATATATGTCTCCATTAGAGTCACCTGCAGAGCTCTGAGTGGATGCAGTCTCAAGGCCTCCGTCATCCACCAGCAGGGAGAGCCTGGCTTGTTTGGAAGGCAGGTCAGAGTCATGGTGGTGGGAGATACGCTTCTGTGGGGCGGACAAAACAAAAACATGGGTGACATACGACAACAGAGATTGGTTATTGGGGCCAGGAAGGCCTTCTCTGCTGGCCTAAAAAAGATCAGAAGCACTGACCAACATTTACAATGTAAATTCCAATACGGTAGTGTATTGGAAAACTTAACGGATTCCATGACCAAATTTAGTGATACAGTAAACGTCAAATGAGCTTAAAAAGCTTGAAGGATCTTTTTTTTAATGAAATGTTTACTAACTGCCAAAGTACGGCTTCTTGTGAATTGAGTTGAGCAGAGTTCCATGGCATCACTGTATGTTCACTGAAATTAATCTGAATTATTCCCAACGTTCTATTCTCTTCATCTTGTAGTTTGTCTCATTCCCTTCCCGAGCCAGTAGTTCTACCTGATGCACCTTATACTATCCAAGCAACGAGACTGTTTTTTAGTCAAAAGGATTTCGAATTCATTTCACACGGCTAGCTGTCACACAATTAGTAGCGTCAGCATTTCTCAGTCTGCGGACTGTTGGTCAAAGCAAGCCAAGCTTGACCAGCAGAACACATCTGTAGCGATCTGCACACATATGCATTTAATAGCCAGCATTGTTGGTGTATGAAGCATTTTATTTTTCATCTTTTTGGTCATGGGACTAAAGAAATGCTGATTCTGAACTGCTTAAAACGTAAGTGGCGTGATAGTAGTGGTATTAAGAGGTGGATTAAGTAAATCCTCAATGTAAGACCACTTACCAAATGCACGGCCCGCCACAGTGAGACGGGCAAGAGATAAAATCACTCATGTGGCACATGATGGTTTGCTCACCTTGCCTTTCGGGAGAATACAATTCCTTTTTGGTTTTGGCGTCCCACTGCTCGCCCCTCCGAAGTACCTGCTGATGGACGTCTGAGAGACACGCGACTCTTTCAGAGATTTAGGCATCCTAACCGCCGACTGTTACCTTCACGGACGCCATAAACTTTGATTGTGTTGACAGGTTTTATTATCAAAAAAATTGCGGGAAGGCTCCGGCAATTTTTCAAAACACAGCGTCGCGCGTGATGTGATCACAGTCGCGTTGATGACGCAAGCATCAAGCGCACCAGAATATTTTAGTTTCCTGTTTAGGGTTTTCAGATTAAACACCATGTCTGATAATGTACTATTTTTCCCCTTGTATATGCGCAAATAACTTTGACAGAATTTATTTGATTGAGATTTTTTTTTTATGTCTGTCAAGATGATCGGAAAAAGCTTCTAGTAAATATACTGTACATCGTAACCGTCGCCTATGGCAGCAGTTTTAGTGTTTTTTCTTGACACAAGGAAAAAAAAATGAACATGTTCAAAATTCCTTTACGACAAGAAAAGTACAGGCGACCGTCTGGCGTTCGTTTGACAAATGTTTGCAAACATGAACAAAGTCTGACAAGAACTTCGCAAATACTCTCCATCGTTAAAGATTGTACATTGTTCTGATTGCATCCTTCTAATGAAAACTGATAGAATGTCAGGATGCTAACAATTGATTTGCTGACATAAGATAATGGGTACGGAAAGCTTGGGAGCAAACCTTTTATGTATTTATTTGATGTCTTACTGCGTGCTAACAATTGAAAAGCCTGATGATGCGGAATAATATTGAGGATTGGTCAAATTGTCTCTTTCGGGAGACATGCGTATGTTGCAGCATCGATTGTGTGTTCTGTTCATTTGAAGAGAAAATGACACTGGCAATGCGTGTCATCATGAACACACATCATCAAGGACTTAACCTGACACATAAACGCTTTGATACTTTATGATCACCTGTAGTGTAATGACTGAACTCTTGACTCTCCCCTCATCTTGATTGCCTTTCAATAAACAGCAGCACAATGAAGATGAAGCTTTGGTTGGGACCTCTGGTCCAAGACATGATTTTCTTCAAGGGTAAGAACTCATTTTGTTTCCTAACTTGAGAAACCTTGGATGTCAAATAAAAGGAGCAATGAGTTTGTAAGAATCTGTTTAGGTTTTCTGTCACTTTATATATTGTGAACTGACTTCGCCAGAAAGCAGTGTACCGTAAACCAATGGGAAATTTGTGACTGAAAACTTGACTCTTTGGTAGAAAAATGCCCATTTCTTTATTAGGTGAGACAGCTTGATGAAATCTGAAGTGTCAGGTTAAAGCTCCATCAATTCTCTATTGAATAAAGACAACAAAAAAATATTGAAGACATTAAAAATGGCTGGAAATTAAAGGGAAAGTCAAGTCAAACATTTTCTTTACAATATTTTCCATGCACCACCAGTAGTCTAAACACAGCATTTCGATCAATATTGCATTTGTGGAATATGAATTAAGCAGCAAAAATCCACCAGTGTTTTTCCATCTCAGGGGGGCAGGCATTTTTCCATTTGCTGTCGATTGAAAATGACATCACAAACTGAAGCATGTGAGGCAAAATGAACGGTGCCAGTCTTCAGTGCGAGAAACTCATCTCGAAAATACTTATGTCATTCTAGTTTATTTTTTGATGCAGACCAGCATTATCTGCTTAATTGCTCCTCATTGTGAAGTTCACTGCAATCTTAAATAGCACTTAAAGTAATTGGGCCAACCTTGGGTGAAAGGAACCAAATCTGCTCAACCTCCACACCTGCTCAGTGAGTGGGTTCGGAAAACATCCCAGCACTTTTTTGCATGCATTAATATTTCTATCCTGGCACCATAGTAAACACACAAGAGCAAATAACAAAAGATTCATTTTGGCTATCGGACGCATATGGCAAACGTGAACGTAGCAGTTTTCAAGAAAAGGCATTGTGGGTGTGTGCCTTGCCGTCATGACTGCAGGATCAGACAAATATGAAAATGTTCAGCACTCATGGCGCACACGCCAACATGTTTGAATGTACAGTAACAATCACATTGTTTTTAAAACTACCAACATGTGCCAATCTACAATTAGGAGAGATTATTTGCAGAAAGTAAGGAATGGCACCACTGGTGAAGGAATGTTGATGCAGGAACGTTAGTGTAGTAGTTCTCAAACTAGGGTCCTCAAACTTACTTAAAAAAACAAAAACAAAAAATACACTGTTGTATGATTTGGAAAAAGTGCATATCTCTGGGAACAATAAACAAACATAAACCAAAACTGTTCGGATTCACAAGAAATCCTTGAGGGGGGGAAAAGTCTCCCCTCCGAGGGGTGCCTCGACCCATCCATTTTGAGAACCCCTATTTAGTGCATTTGCTGTACATTCATCCACAAACGAGATGACATGTAGAGCGGAATACGAAAAGAAAATCACATTCAACATTTATGCAAAACAACAGTTAACCTTTCATTTCATTCAATCAATGACTTAAGTCAAAGGGTGAACTTAGTACTTGTTCAGTGGCCAACACTGATGATAAAGACACACATTGGTTAGCTTACAGTGCGGTACATTAGCATTTAAGGAGATGAAGCCTCCGCCGACCGGGTAGATGACTGCAGCAATGACACGATCGGAGTTCGTTTACTACTGTCTGGAAGGCACATGAGAAAAGGATGGAACAATACAATTGAATTTCATTCAGTCTTTGGCTGAGACCTGCATGCAGCAGTCCAAATGGAGCGCAGCTTCGTGCGAGGCATGTACGGCAGCCATTAGATTCCAGTGCCTGTTGACTTGCATGCTAAATCAGTGTTTCATACCTATAGTTAAATTTTATCGGCAGATAAGCCACTTTAAACGAAAAACTTTTCTGTTGTTAGAAGTGGAAGTTTTGTCCAACTGGAACTAGTTCACTGCAGTCAACATAGGGCATGCCTGTCTTTTTCATGTGTGACTGTTTTTTTTTTTTTTTTTTAAATTTGAAGTGAACCCTAAATCCAGAATAAGATTGAATTGAAAAGGGGGTGTTCAAAAATTCCTACTCAGCCGAACGGGATTTTGGGTGCGAGTACGAGCTGTAATATTCTTGCTCTCGGTTTGTGTATAATAAATTTCCCTCAGACTTGTATGCCGAAGAATACAGTATATTACATTTATTAACCCTTGCAGGGACAGTGGTTACTACAGTGGAAAGCTTATCATGTTATCGGGTTACAGGGTGCATGAAACGGTTAATAATTTTATTTCAGGAGTAAAATTGAATGATCTGTTTAACTAAGGAAGTAGCCGACTTTAGCAGAAGTGGCCAGCATCATTCATGAGGAGATGTTGAAGAAAAATAAATATTTTGTCAAAATGACTTAGGCCATCACTTTAAGGAGGTGACAAAATAGTGAAACTATTATTCTCAACAGCTGTATTGCTGGCAGCGCAGTCATGTCAAAACTGCTGCTTTTATTTGGCACGTGTTCATGGACACATTTACCTGGAAACAGCATGGGAAGGCCCGTCCGAATGCTTGCATAAGTTCAGTGCACCCAAGTAAAGTAGGCAATCTCATCCAGATCAACAGGGTAGTCGGTGAGGTACTTGGGACCCTTAACAAAATGTTCTCCCTTGTAGCTTCTCCACCTTCCCGCAGGCAAGTAGATGTCCCGTTCCTGCTTGCCTGGTTCCAACACGGGAGCCACCATCAGGTCATCCCCAATCAGAAACTGGGAGTCGACCTTATAAGCCGCCTCGTCGTCGTTGGCGATCCACCAGAGGGGCCTGATGATGGGATCTCCTGTGTTAAGCACCTCGTGGGCCAGCTCTAGAACCCTGGGGGCTACCAGGGTCTCGTGGAGTTTTGTGAACTTTCGCGCTATGTCCACCACCTGGACAAAGATGCGAGTTATCATCATTTTCTTGCAAAGCAGGGTATAATCAATCAATTACCCCTCCGGGATCATAATCTGTGTTTAAAATATCAAAATATGAAAACAAATATAGATCAAAGGAAACACAATGATAGGATCAGACATATATTGATACAACCAGCCAAGGACTCGGGCTTTGGAGCCTGTAGGTGAGAGTTCAAGTCCCGGCTGTGAACATGTAATTTAAAAATAAAAAATAAAAAAAAGATCAATTTGCATCTAGTTGTTGGAGAAATGCTAGCCTGCTTCCTGACTGCTTCTGAGGTGACCTTGTGCAAGGCAAGAAGTTTGACAAGTCGTAGTTACTTTCACGCTAACGTGTTGTACTTTTGTGATACCTTAAAAACATTCACGTGCACGAATTAAACCACAATGAAAATCAAACTTAAAAAAAATGGACAAAAACATACTGAATAACAATTTCAGTTGACCCACTCTAGTTCATATCAAGTAAATACTGTACAACAAACACATGTGAAGTAAATGTATTAAGTGTTATTCTACTCACTTCATCGTCATAGAACCATGGTGGTATAGAAAACTGCATAGCAGGCATAAATGCAGACAGCTCCAACCATCTGATGTACAGCTCTCTGTCAGGCAGGTCATACCCGTCTTTTATAGATCCTAAAGTACAACATAAATATTAGCGATACATCATTTTATATTAAAAGTTCAGTGTATCATTTATGTGAGTGAAAAAACGATTAACAACAAACACCCCGATGAGTCAGCATTTGCCTGTCTACGATTTTGTTTTTATCTATATTCACTGAAAAACTAGGATGTCCTCTTTTAGTGCCGAAGTCTAAGATCTTGAAGCAACATTCTAGCGCCACCTGGAGGAATCTTCATGTTATGTTTAATTCCTTGATGGCATTTCTTCATCTGCATTTGAGATGTTCTGTTTTGTTTGTAAATAATTTGCAGATGCTATTCATGGCAGGGCTTGGTTGCTGTCATGTTAATTTCCGCGAAGCCGTAGAGATCTTGTACCTGTCATGTGGTCAGGGTACGCATTCCCGCCGATCATATCAGGCAGTACAAATTGGTACCCCAGGATGCTGATCGTCAGAACTGTGGGAATGATGGACTTGAGGCCGAGCTCGTAACCCCACACCGAGTCCCTGTCAATGATCCTGTAGAAACAGGAGATGTTCTGACTCTGGTAGCCCACCCTCAGCTCGGCCCGCTCACTAAACGGTATGGCCATCTCTGTGTAGCGGCGGGTGAAGGTGGAGGGGTCCGTCAGCGGGATTAGGGTGCTAAACTGTTGAGGGAGATAGCTTGTCTCTCCTGCATCAAACTTAAAGGAGGTCACGCCATAGTGTGCTTTGAGCTTGGTCAGTTGGCCTGAATACCAGCTGCGGGCATCTGGGTTGGTAAAGTCCAAGATTCCGCCAATGCCGTTCCACCAGCGAACGAGAGCTGGCAGCTCACCGCCGGGCTCGCGCACAAACAGTCCATCCTGAATGGCAACGCCAAAGTTGATGGAGTCATAGTTGATGAAAGGATGAGTCCAGAGCGTCACTTGAAAGCCGTCCTGTCGGAGCGTGTCGAACATGCCGCTGGCGTTGGGGAACTTCTGGGGGTCGAAATCAAACTCGCCGTAGTCGGCGGTGTAGCGGTCGTCGAGCTCCAGGTGAGAGCAGGTGAAGCCATGTTTGGTGATGTCGGAGGCATACTGCAGTAACTTCTCTTGGGTGACAGACGTCTTGTACAGAGCCCAAGTGGACCACACCGGGTGCTTGAACACCTCAACGGAAGGAACCTTGACCGGCTTTGGGAAATAGCGGCGCACCTGACGGAGCAAAAACAAGAATGTACTTTTTCTGCACAACCTTTTTTGGACAAATTGGTTTTCAGCAGTCGCAACATTCGGTAGCCATTATCACATCCCAATTACAGAAACCATCCCTGTTGACAATTGCTGTCGATGGTGTCACTCAAACTGTCAGACTGTATGTTGCCAGGGCGGCACGGTGGTTGACTGGTTAGCACGTCAACCTCACAATGCAGAGGTCATGGGTTTGACTCTGGGCTACGGCCTTCCTTTGTTGAGCATGTTCTCCCTATGCCTCAGTTTGTTTTCTCTGGGTACTTTGGTTTCCTTCCACATTCCAAAAACATGCATGTTCGTTTAATTGAACACTCTAAACTGTCGCTAATTGTGATTGTGAGTGCGAATGGTTGTTCATCTATGTGTGTCGTATGATTGGCTGGCAACCTGTTCAGGTGTACCCCGCCTACTGCCCGAAGACGGCTGGTTAGTACGTCCAGCACCTGCGACCCTCATGAGGATAAGCGGATCAGATTAATGGATGCATGGATGGTGTCAATACTCACCATGTATTTATGAATTGAGGTGACATCTGAACCCACACACACTCGGTAGCTGAGTTCTGGTGAGGCCTGCTGTCCATCCAGTGGTTTGAATGGAGAATCTTGGTACCGGGCCTGGAAGTGAAGTGTCATGTCCTTCTCAGACCAGCCCAAATGAAACGGCACAGAATCGTTGATTTTAATGGCCACAGCCTTGGACGAGAGCCAGTAGCGTTCCAGAATCCCCCCAAAGGCATTCCGGTTTGAGTAGATGTCGCTCGTGATGAAAGGCTGCGGTTCCTGCTCGCCCTCGATGCTGATCGGCCAGTGCTGGGTGGCCGACTCTGCCCCTCCGTACCAGTGAGAGCCATTACAAGCCATGGCGTGTTCCACGGTGCGCTTATCTTGCAGAGGCTCCCAGCGCACGCGGTAACACATCACTGTGTCCTTCAACCGAACCGTGTGGATAAAAAAGTTGATCTTGCCGGCATCTGACTCAGTGCAGCTTAGCATATTTTCCTCATTGGAGCATGAGTCTAAATCCAGTGTGGCGGACCTGCAGATCATTCAAGAGAACTGGTTCAGCACTAAATATGTCATGCAACAAAACGTGAATTAAACAATAGCCCATATCTGGCTCACAGTTTCAAGGTTTGAGCTTCAACTCTCCCTCCTGTGTGGAAACTCACACGTCCTCCCTGCTTGTGAGGGTTTTCTACATTCTCAATTTCTAAATTGTCCACAGGCGTAAATATGAGTGTAAAGTAGTGGTTGTTTGCAAATTTGTATTCTTGAAATATATTGGGGGAAACTACCCAAATGTTGCTTCAATGCCTGCGTTGTATTGAGCAGATTTAACGCCGTCACAGAGTTTTCCTCAACTCCGCTCTGTAGTGAAATTGATATTACCGGTATGTTGTTCCTCAATTGTTGTAGGATTGTTTATTCAACATCAAGTCTAGACAAGTGATAGAACTGATCACCTGTGATGCTAACGAGGACAAGCTCAATTGAAAATGAATGGATGGATAGCTTCAACACAATAACGGTAAGCGGATGCATTACAGAACACTTTCTGCTATGAGCGGGAAGATTTGGATTCAGGCCATGACTACAGTAGCCATGTTCTCCCAGAGGGGCTACTAATCATTCGTTCAATGTAGTTTCCATTATCCATTGACCTATTTCGGACACACAGAGTGGACTGTTATTCAATCAACAAATTTGCACGTGTGTGTGTGCTTGTGTGTTGGATTAACTCATGTTATGTATTGCGTGTGTAATGACCTTGTATTTTCATTGAAAGAGAATCTGCAAAGGTTAAATGGAGGCAAATCGACTTTTTTTGTTTGTTGAAAGATGTTTCACATTTAACCCAAAAGGCTTTCTTGGTTGATTTTTTTTTTCCCCGTGAAAGGGATGTCAGGACATTGTTGTGAAGAGACAATAGATGTTGCCTCAAATGTCGTTCTGTGTTATGAGGCAGCTTGTCAGTTTGACCTAGATGCCGCTTTCAAACCAGCGATCCTCCTTATCCAGAATTTGGATGTCATCCTCAAAAGAATGTCCTGACATTCCTCCTCGAAAAAATGGTCTCATTCCACAGGGAGCGTGGCTCCAATACACTCTTTTTAATTTTAACTTTTGCACACTAACCTAGATGACACAGTCTACTTTACAGACACACACAAAGAGAAGCCCACCTGAAGGTCATGGTGAATATAATAGTGCCTGCTTGGTTCCGAATTACAAAACCATCCTTGTTGAGGTCTAGCAGCTCCGTCTTCATGAGCTGGGCTGTGCGCAGAGAGGCCGAGTAGTAGCACCAGGCCACCACGGCAGCCAGAACCAACACACAGCCCAAAACGCTTGCAATGACCAAGGGCCGGGCTTCCTGATTTCCTCGCTTTTTTAGCGGGGAGCCCCCGGTCTCATCGGACAGGTGCTGCTCCCCTGGGGCCACTGGAACGATCTGGTACATACTAAATTTTATGTAAATGAGGAGCTGAAAAGAATGGTGGATAATGATGATTTTCAAAATAGAGCTTCCTCCCTGTAGTAGTCGTGGAATCGGAGGAAGAACGATGAATGGATGTCTACCTTCCTGTCCTTGGTAATGTCTTCATGTTGGATGGTTCCAACCTTGAAGGAAGGCACCCATGTCAATACAGTAGAAGCAATGCAAGAGTCATTTTGCAAAATAATAGTAGATACCCTTGATGGTGTAATGGTACATTTGTGTGATAAGCCTGAACAAATTCACACTACTTATAGAATCCTCAGAGAATTTGAACATTTTAACCTCCGGTGGGTGCGTGTGAAAGGAATTTAATATTCAGAGAGAGGAAATATGAGGAGATTGATGAAGCTCAAAGGTACTGTTGGAGATCGATTTAGTGGGTAGCTTCATCTTAAAGTACACTCAGTATATTTTGAGCTTTTGTTTTTCATTTGATTCCTTTACTTCATGGCCTATGTTTTATCTACATGTGCTTAACTGTAATTACAACTAGTAAAACTGCGTTGGAGACAGGCCACGGCGATTTCATATTTACGTACAGATTCCGGTTACGTCACTGACTTTGGATCGGAACTTCGTCGTAAACCGAGAGAACCCCGGCACAGGCTCTTTTAGCTAAAGAGGAAGAGAATGCTGGCAACAATGTGAACGTAATACTTGACTGATTTATGTCGTCGTGGTTCTATATCACTTCTGGCTTTTAAGGCGGAAACCACGCGGTTTCATGAACAATTGGTCAACCCGTCTTCCCTGCCCTTTTTTTGTTGTTGTATTTTATTTTTTACAAGAGGCCCAGATATAACATAAAATCTATAGTTCGCAAGAGTACGACGCCCCAGCTGTCAACTGTTATAAATTTCTTTTCACGCCAATCGAATAGCAGCCCAATGCGGGTGGTGCCGTCTACGAAGGTGTAACTCATAACATGTCATGTAATGATGGTTAAAAGAGAAAACAGAAAAAGCTTACTTGTCCCCAATGTCGTTTTACTTCCAGCACAGATCCGCGAAGCGTTGCGCAGGTGCAGCACTGCAGCTCCGTGTGCCCGCCCAACAACAACCAAACTGCGACGCTGATTTGTCCAGGCGCACGTCAATCGAATATGAGTGGATTCGGGGTATTGTAGTTCCGCAGTTAAGATTTTCAAACGATTTGCAACCTGTCGTGTTAAATAACAAATATATCCATCCTTCCAACAGCTCACAAAATATCAGGAAAACTGAAATGGTGAAAAACAGCTTAACATATATCCCCCCCCCCCCAAATTCAGTCCAACATAGTCCTCTGTTAAGAAGAGCCTCTTTTACACAGACCATGCAGAATTGTAAACCTATGACGGAAGCCCTGGAATTTTTCATGTTTGCCATCCTGCGATCAATCTAATCTGTCACACAGAAAAAAATGGATAAATGTTGCCTGACAACAAAATGTATTTGTCCCCACCAAACAGGGAGAATGCTGCAGTGGTGGGCAGTCATACTGATGCTGTGCTGCAACACTGTGAGTGAGGCCTGTCTGCAGTGTGACAAAGAGATCTTGAACACGCACGAAGACTTTTCCTTATCTGCCTCCACTCCACAAAAGCAAATCGAACGGGAAAAGATTATTGATAATGTCTATAGCAAATACAAGGAAGCAAGCCGGGAACTGAAGGGCATCATAGGTAAGAACTACATTTGCCCCAACAAAACATATAAAGTAATGATTTATTTTGAGAAGTTTCCAAATGATTATTTCATTTCGGTTCTCTGGTTATGTCAAACACGAGCTTCTGTATTTCATGGTGGTTAATGGCCTGTGTCTCACTGCTTAGATCCGACCACCCTGTACAGAGTCAAAACTGAGTACCTGAGTGAATTTAATCGGTTCTTGGATGCAGATTACAGTGGTGAGAACTCACAAATTCTAATTGTTGCTGTGTATTAGGGAAGACAGTGGAACTTTGTGTTTTAGGACAAGCGCTATAGAAAATGGATGGTGGGACGGTTTACTCAATAACAGTGGTGAACTTTTTTTTTTCTCCCAACAGATGTTAATAATGTTAAAATTCAACCCGAAAATTCTCCTGTGCAGTTAATAATCGTGACATTATTTCCTATCGGAAAATTGCTTTAGAAATTAATAGAGGTCAGCCAACACCCTGAACTGCGTTTGTAACAGTTCCACTGCACATATGGACATGAGCATAGTGAGCATGCTTCGACACTAACCGCTTTTTTCTTCCCCAGGACTTTCTCAAAGAGACTTCATTCATATCATTGAACAAGGGAAGAAGATTTTAGTCACACACTTGAAAAAGTTCATAGCTGACAGTAAATACCTTTAATATGAGAGCGTGCACGACATAATTTAAACATCTTAAATGGTGAATCAGATGTGTGCTTTTTGTTTGTCTTTCCCTCAGAATTGTGCCCCAACAAGTGTGGTGAGTTTGATCTTCTCTTTGCAGACGCAAAAAAATTATGTTTGAAGGCCTGGACATAATGTGTGCATACTGTTTGGCACTCAGGGCTCTTGCAGAGACGGGTAATGGATTGCATGTCATGCAAGTACAAGATCTACAGCTGTCCATCTCCGTCCGGCAAACTGGATTGTGGTGGTATGTACTCGTGTATGAAGAGTATGTCCTTTTCTCAACATAGGACACGTGGTGACGGGAGTGCAAATAAGTGCCGTGTTGCCTGTCCATGTGAGTGAAAAAGATTAGTCCAATAGCATCCCTCTTGTCATCCTCGGCTCCCTCACCCTTTCTGCAGAATACCAGATTGAGGCTGAAGAGGGAGGACATGCATTTCTGGACTGTTTCCAACCATGGCATTCACTTGTTTTTGGGAGCCTCTCATACACCTGGACCTCTGACACAAAGGTCTGCCTTTACATCCTCACAAATGTCTTCAGTCATAACTATACAGTATGTACTGTATGTATGGGCCATCTCACCAAATTAGTACCATTTGCTTTGTAACATTATTAAAATAAATGTAAACAAATGGAAATAGTTTCTTTTTAAATTCCAAAACCTACAACTCACAGATTGAACGACTGAAAATGTGGATTACATTAGGAAAAAAAGCATTACAATCTTAATTTGATACATTTTAACTTCTTCTGGGCACAACCGGCACGGTCCGCTGGATTGGCCCAAATACACTGGAATTTCCAATGGTGAAGAGTCAAAGTTGATGAAAAAAAGTTACAAAATAAAATTAAAGAAAGAAAAATGAAAAAGGAAGAAGAATAATTTCCATAGGATATTATGGAACACGAATGATTACAGCACATCTGCCTCACAGTTATAAGCCTGTGGGTTCAATTCTTGCCTTGGGCTTTATGCGTGGCATTTGTCTGTTCTGCCCGAACTTGCTCAGATTTTTTCCTGGCATGACGCATTTCTGTTTGTTCTTTTTTGTATTTCAAAACCTGTATGGAAAATAGAATAAATAATCCCTGATAAAAATCAACCTGTAATTATAAAACTTTTATTAAACCTTTCACCACCAAAGTCTGCGGTTTTGTGTAATTTTACAGTTACAGGATATTTCCCAATTTAAGGGGGAATATTGGGCACATTTCATCATGACATTCAACTTGCTGTATATTATGTGTCCCACTTTTACACTATTATTACCAATTTTTTGGGCATTATTTTTTTGTGTATTCAGGTCAATGGTCCGAACTCAGGATATAAGATAGTAATGGAGGAGTCTAGCATGGTGTTAAATCAGCTCCACTTGAGGGATCAGGGGACGTACCGGTGCTCACTGACGGGCCAAGATGGGACTGAGTTCTACCGAGTTGCAGTGCACTTGACTGGTAAATTGTAAAGTCACACTTCTCGACAGCTCCTTTTTTAAAATAGATAGTTACGGTAGATAGAAATGTCATGAACTTCTGCGTGGCAAAAGCCCAAGCATTCTTCGATGTCACAAGTAAAAAAAAAAAAAAAAAACCCTTGCATACCATTTGACCAATGTACTTTTAATGCTGTATTTCTTATCCTTCACAGTCACTCGAGCGCCAACCGAAACATATCGATCTAGCGTTTCACTGCCTGCGTTGACTCCTGAAGACGAAGAATCACTTCAACACGACAGAGGCGCGCTGGTTCCGCTCATGGCTGTAGTCACGGCTCTTAGTCTGGCAGGTTGCCTCATCTTCATTGTTGTCATTGGGTAAGTCGCGGAAAAAGATGACAAACAAGAGCACTGCGGTTTGGTTCACACTTTTTGGCGCCCTTTATAACATAGGTTTTATAACGCCCTTTATAATGGCCCCAAGATGCTATACAGTTGTGGTTTAAATATGAGTGTATGATTGTATGTGTCCTCCCCACAGAAAGATGATGATTCAGCGAAGAAAAACATCGGCGACACAGAGAAGCAGGGTGGAGGAAGAAAATAACACATTCACCTCTGTGTGGGCCAGATGGCGTGCACAGTAAATGGTTCTTGTGGGATTGGAAATTTCAAATGTACTTGATGTTTTCTTGTCATGCTGTCATCGCTGGTCCACCCGATTGTATTTTGGTCTCATCCGACCAAAGCACCTTCTTCCACAGGTTTGTGGTGTCCCCTTTGTGGCAAACGGGACTTCTCATGCCTGTCTTTCAACAGTGGTTTTCTTCTCGCCACTCTTCATAAAGTGCACTACTTATAGGAAGTGTAGTTGCTCTAAATTTTTGCACAACTTTATCCCTGACATGTCTGATGTGTTCCTTTTGTCGTGATGCTGTTTTTTTACTCACATTCTGTAACAAACAGCCGATAACTTCATAGAGTAGGTAAATGTAAACTGAGTAAAATTGTGTTGGCCTATCTTATAAAATTTGTTTGTGATTGTAAGGTCAGAAAATCTGAAAAAGCTTTCCAGAAAACCACCAGCCATATGGGAGGTGAGTGGGCGGCCTGGTCACATGGGCGTTCACGATACGAATTGGATGATCTCAGCATCTGGGTTGCAGTGTTTTTCAGATATTAAGTACTCCCGCCATACAAATAATCCGGGATAATCCCCATGTGGGAAGGAGGTATTCAGAATTTCTATTCTATCTAACATATTCTTGTCAAGAAAATTTGGGGTTTGACTTCCGGTTTAAGGAGAAAAATCCACCTATTTTTCTCCCATCTCGGGGATGCCTTGTATTGCCCACTTGCTGTTGACTGAGAATGACATCACAGTGCCTAAGGGTTCAGGTAACGACCGTCACGGCTCACGTTTTTCTGGGTTCGGTCGTGTGATCTTCGCAAGAGGAGCCCTTAGGCACTGTGATGTCATTTTCAGAACGATCCTTTAAAGACAAGGCACAATGGCATTATCAAGTAATGATACTCGGAATCAGCAAGTATTCAAATGTCAGTGCTAATACCAAAAAAATATATTTTCATGCATCCCTTACACAGGATTACTTGTTCTCTGTATTGTGTTGCTTGGCATGATAGTCACTCACTTATGAAGCATTTCAGCCAAATGGAAATGAAGAAGTGAGTACTTGCGTAGGTAATTGCTATCATCCATTAACACGCTAAAATCATTGCTCACTTGCTCGGGGGTCTGTGAAATGTGAGTCATTTGGTCTCAGTAATCCATTAACACTCACTGGGAGAACAAAGGCGGTGATGATATGTCTACGTGGGAGAAGGGGTTGTGGTGAGGTGGGGGTGGCAGGATGTGTAGTAGGCGGGGTCCATTTCATTTCCTGTTGGGACTGCTGGGATAGGTGTATGAAGTTTTTGGTCGGGGGGGGGGGGCGGTATGTCTACTGCAAGGCGGTATGTCTACTGCAATGTTCCTGCTGTGGTTACAGCAAATGCATACTAAGCTCAGCTGACAAGCCATGACGGACAGTGTTTGCGTGGCCAGACATTGCAGCCTCAGCAGCAGGGGAAGCACATGACAAAAAGTGGGTGAGCTGAGTACTGCTGAGGAACTACCGGTCTGCCAGCTGGGAGGAAAAACGAGGAGGAAGGAAGTGGAAACATGAAGGCAGTGCGAGTCACTTGTGTGGCCTTTGAGGGAAGGCATGAGAGATAGGCAGGCAAAATAAGTTTCATGTGGGTAACAGATGGGAATTAAAGTGTGGTAGATAATGTAAATAGTAATTCTTTTTTTTTTACACCAAATTGATAAACAAATGGATTAAACACTGTACTTAACTGTGAATATTGGGAAAACTAAAGCACATAAAATTCAAATGTGTTGCTAGATACTGTAGATATTGGGGTGGCATGGCTCAGTGGTGTCGTCCTTTCCCAGCCCAGAGATTGCGGATTCTACCCCAGCTCTTCCAAACATGTCGAAATTTCCTTGAGCAAGATGCTGACTACACACCATTAATGGCATGTCTAAATTCAGAAGTAAAGACATTGATAACAATAAAGATAGTGTGATATTGTGCTGGAGTGAATTGGAATGTGTCAATATTTGTAATGGTATTTGTGTTTATGTAATGTTATTTTAATTGTGATTTAACAAAGCTGTTTTTTAAATAAAATCTGTAATCTACATGCCCCAGTACAATATACTAAAACATTGTGACGATGTTAGTTTCCGTTGGAGCATGTTGTTTTAATGACGTCTAGCCCTCAGCCAAACGTCATTCGACAGCAAACCACATACGTGATAACCTAAAACGGGCTTGGTTAAAAACAAGACGTGACGTCCATATTAGGACTGACAGGTAAAGTCTAGCCCTCAACCAAACGTCATTCGACAGCAAAACCACATACGAGATACTGTAACCTCACACGGGCTTGGTTAAAAACAAGACGTGACGTCCATATTAGGACTGACAGGTAAAGCCATATTTGGAAGTTCCGCCTACAAGTGCCGTCTCTGAATGGAAAACAAGGCGGGGCTTTCACTTTGTTATTAAGTGAAAATCGTTTGAAGTCACTCACTGGAAACTAGGGAACAAATGCTGTGATTGACTGCCTTTAGTTACCGCAGCGACGACTTTTCATAGATTTTTATAACAGTCGACTTAATTTACCTTTTCCGACCATGACGACAGCCGGCGAGCCCTTGGAAATCAACAGCCACGAGTTGGTTCACCTCCTTAGGGAGCGCACCTCCACCAGCTGCGTGGTCCTGGACTGCAGACCCTTCTTGGACTTTTCCCTGGCGCACGTCAGTGAGTCCCGCAACGTCAACTGGAACTCGATGCTGCGACGCAGGTCTAAGGGCGCCGAGGTGGCCCTGGACTGGCTCATCCCGGACAAGGAGCTGCTGGGGAGGCTGCGGCGCGGGGAGCTCAGCCCACCGGCGTCGGTGGTCGTGGTAGTGATGGATGAGGCCAGCCGCTCCGTGGACGAGCTCAAGGCGGAAAGCGTGGCTCACATGCTGCTCGCGGCCCTGCGAAACGAACTCAGCACGCAAATTTACTTCCTGCAAGGTGACAAGAATATTACTTGGAAATGAGCAGTTCACAGACTGCTGTTGGCTCAACGATTTATAAATGATGTAATTATTGGGACGCTCAAATAAATCCAAGTACTTCATTTTCTAAGAACAAAAGGTTTGTATTACAGCAGTACTCATAAACATTTTACACCATGTAGTGATGATTATAATAATAATAATAATAATAATAATAATAATAATAATGATAAACTGGCTCAAAGATTAAATGTAAATTTTGTGTAGTACTTCAAAAAAAAAAACTACTGAATTATAGTTAACATGTG